CTTCTATGACGCTAACTGCTTTTTAAGAGCCTCTAACACACCCTTCCATGCACTAGGCTTTCTCGGGTTAACACCTAACTGTAACCCGAGATACTTTAATGGGAAACTACCAATCTTACAATGTAGGAACTCTGCAGCCAAGTTTTCAAAGTCATCACCAGTGTTAATCCCCAAGTTTATTTATTGTTATATCTTTTGGTACTCTTATTACACCCAGATTCAACAAAGGAATGCTTTCTATGCTGATTTCTCATACAAAATGTTTATCCAACGTTACTTAATGCTTTGTCAACAACAAACTATGAAATGATAAGGCTCTTTAATCTAATTGTTAATAGGAAAATAAATAAGGGAAAGATGTTAATAAAATACTTTTTAACACACTTATATTAAAATTTGCACTATATATTGCGTATGAAACTCAATAAATGAGAGATAAGATATAATTTGGTGAGTCCAAAGTATATTAAAAGGAGTCCTGCTAGCATTTCTATTAATTTGGATTCTTAATTTATTGGCATTTCTTATTACTTGTTCAGTTGTCCTACCATATAAAGTACCCTTGTACGGAGGGAAAACATATAGTATTATAAAAATATTTTGTTTACCAAATAAAAAATATTGGGATTATTTTTTGTTAATATAATTTTGCCTTCTATAAAATATTATAATCTCTAATAATCGTTGAATATAAAATCAAAGGTTGAAATCTCAGCTGCAGAAAATCTAGATCCAAAACCTAAAATCCATAAGCAGTACAGGAACTCAAAACATCAAGATAGTGCATTCAAAACATTCTTTAGTATATGAATATATGGTAAAACTGATTCTCACATTTCTTCGTCTTCAAATTGATTATCCTTTTTGATTAATTTGTCTCACTTGTCTGTAGCTGATTTGCACAAAAGAATACCTTTAAGTGCAAGCAATGGAAACAAAACTATATTGAATACTCGAAAAGGAGACAAAGCCAAATCTCCTTGAGGCTTATTATTGTTCATCTATTTTATCTCTTAAGGGAGGGTCCTGGTTTGGGTACATAACCCCACACCATGTGTCTCAATTTTAAGCTTCTATCCAAAGGGAAGCCACACTGAATATGGTCCACTGGTGACCCTTCATGTTTCGGTCGAATATCAGTTCACATATTCACATCATGTGTTGCTCCACGTTCCTTCATCTTTTCCTAGATATTCCTGTTGGACGAGCCATATACATGTTTTTTCTTTCTTGCCATGATAAGATATCTTGCAAGTCCGTGGATTTTATTCTTAATCAATGTTATTTTAAAAATTAAATATTTTATCCATCATACCATTCAAAATAACTTTGCATTCATGTTAAGGTAAAACTTATTTTTTATACTTTTATTTTGAACATCTAAAAATGATTGTGTATAAAAAAATTATAAAAAGAGACAATTTCTTCATTGATATCTAGGTGAGTAGAGAATTAGTCTTCAATTCTTTATTAAGAAATATTTGGTATTAAAACAAGAAGTTTCACGCGTCTACAAAATAAAATTAAAATTGGATGTAATATTATAAGTAATTTTGTATTACTTTCTAAAATTTGAGTTTTACTTTAATAATTTACATGATAAAAGTTAGTATTAAATATCGACACATTACTGAGGTAAAATTCGAGTATTAATCGAAGAACGTGATCAAAATGTAGTGTTGTACCTAAAAATTTTGTTCAAAAGTATGAATAGTTATTGGAAAAAACTTATATTGAGTCCCTAGGTATTCTTGGTTATGTTTATTGACCAAAATTAAATTTTATTTTGATAATTTATGAGAACATTAACTATAAATATTTTATTAAAATAAAATATAAATTTTATTAGTAAGTGATACCAACAACGTTTAAAGAAAAACATATAAGTTTCGTACGTAACTATTTTGAATTTTTGAGAATGTAGAATTAATATTACAAAAATATTAAAAATTTACTTTTTAAAAATAATAATTTAAAATTATATTTTAAATTAATTTTATTTTTTAGATTATATAAATTATTTTTAACAAACAAAACATTATTTTTAAAATTTTGAATATTACATTTAAAATCAATTTTTTTTATAAAAAATAACAAATAATTCTCTTCAAATTAATTATACGAAAGCGTATAGAAAAGTATTTTTCTTCAACCTATAGATAGAAAACCTTGCAATCCATTCAAATGGCACAAGTGTTATTAGACACTCGCTGAAGAGAGATTAATTTACTTTAGAAATAATTTTTTCAAAAGTTGTTTTATTTAATAATTTTTTAAACATTAAATTTCTTAATCCAATCCTTATAAGTCATATACATAAAAAATAATTAATATTTTTTTAATATTTAATATAATTTTTAAATATAAATAAATATTAATTTTAAAGTCACATGTAATTTATTAAATCTTTATATATATATATATATATATATATATATATATATTTAACACGAATGTATATTTTTCAATAGTTAAATTGATAAATTTAATGTTTATAAAGAATTATTAAGTAGAGTAAGTTGTATTAAAGTTATTCTTAATATATTCAAAATTATAAATAAATAAAAAATACTTTCTTACTCAAATCAAAATGTAAACCTTAGCAAACATGCATCACGTCGCAATGAAACATTATATATTGTCTGATGTAAAAACTAAACCAAAAATACTTTTACTACCAAAGAAAACAAAAATCTCAGAACAAGTGTAGCAAAAAAGGCAAGCAGAATCTAATACATTTTCTGTCCATGTATATTAATTGTTCTTCAATTAAATAAAGGTGCTGTTAATTATAATTAATTAGGGAATCTTTTAATCAATGTATTAAATATAAGTTGAAAATTTTAATTGTTTATAGGAATTTTAATTGATGAGATTATAATTTATTAGCAAAATGATTTAATTATATTTTATTAAGATTTGACAACAGAAGTATTTTAAAAAGTTCAACATAATAGCAAAAAAAAAAAGTTAAACATGAAAGATATAGTAGTAGAGTTTTACAAATTTAAGGGGTAATATAATTTTTTTAAAAATATTATAAGAAAAAAGAAAATATTATTTTAACAAGTAGCAAAAAAGTATTTTTTTAAGAAATACGAGTAACATTTGAAAAAACACAAATAATTATTTCACTTACCCTACTAAACAAAGCTATTTTTGTTAAATAAGACTTTTAACTAGAAAAATAAGCATTTAACGTGTTGAAATGTCTTCTTAAGTACATACATAAGTACTGATGTTGATAATTTTTTAAAAAAAATTATATTTGTTCTTAATAAATAAAATTAATAAAATCTTGAATGAAAACAAATAAGTTAAATATTGAGGGTGAGATTAGGTTTAATGATATTAATTAAGGGTAAAATCTTATAAAATTAAAAAAAAAACAACTAATTTTAATTTTTTTATTAATTTGTACAGTTAATTTGAAAGGGCCTTATTTTTTAAAAAAATTAGAAGGAGTATCATTTTCAAAATTAAATCTATAACCAAACTTGCATATTCAGTTAATTTTTCATTTATTTAAGCTTTTAGAAAAAAGAAATATTGCAAAAATGGGAAACAAAATAATTACATTTTGAATTGTTATTTCTGTAAGTTTTTTAAAAATTAAAATTATTTTTAGATTCTGCTTAGTTTAAGGTTCAAATACCTTAAAATATCTTAAAATTTGATTTTTAACAACGATAATAATTTTTGGACCACTAAAAAAAAATTCTTTTAAGTATCTTTGTTATATTTAAGATATATCTTGGGATAGATGCATAGGAAATAAAAATAATTATTTTTAATATTATATATAATATATTTTAATGATTCAAACAATAAAATTATTTTAAAAAGTCTTTTTTTCACAAAATAATATCAACCAATTCACTTCTAAGCATCGTAATCATCATTTAAAGTGACAAATTCGCATCTCCTTGCACGAGGTTGTAAAAGGAATAATAAAAAAATATTTATTTAATTTTGGGGCGTATTTTTTAATTATATATATATATTATCCATAATAATGTATAGTTGTAATTTTTAAAATTTAAATAATATATTTATATATTTTTTTTATCATTTATGTTTATGGTAGTTGCAAGAGATTCTTTTGCTTGTTTTTTCATTGATTGTCGAATGATTTGACATTTTACAAAAGGTATATTTAAATATATTTTTATTCTTGACGACCTTTTAATTTTTGTTTTTTCAGTTTTATATAAAATTTAATTTTTTAACAATAAATATTTTTTAATCTTAGTAACTATTAAATAATGATATAATTAATTAAAAAGTTATTATGTGTTAAATATTTATTTATGTGAGTAAAAAAATAAAAATATTTTAGTTATAGAAATATAAAATAAGATTTAACGTGAATAAAATAAAAATTTGTGAAATATAATGAACACAAAATATTTAAACTTAAAAAATATTATAAAGAAAGTGTGAAGAAAGTAACGTGAGATATAATAATACCAAAAAGATCATTAAATTAAAGCAATTTATTAATAAATAACTAAAAATATGTGGTATGATTAATTTAAAATTGAAGAAATTTATATATTTAAAGGGATTAAACATTATAATTATTAATAATAAATATTATATTATATTAAATAAAATATAGAAGAAAACTATAATAATACTTCTAAAAGTGCTGCAGAGAATAATAATAATAATAAAATAGATGAAGTTGTGGGCTCGGAAATGACGAGAGAGGTTGTCTGGTTGTGGGTAATAAGATACGAAATAAGAGGAGAGATAAGGAGAAGGTGAGGCCTATGGGGTTCGGTGGCCCCAAACCATCGTCTGCTAAGGACACAGTAGCCTCTGCAATGGCAGTGTAATAACAGTGACATAAATTACCTCTCGCTGTTATTTTCCATCACAATTCAGCTACCAAAATATATATTATATAATATTATATAGGGAAGGAAAAACAAAGATATATATATATATGTATATATATATATGCCTTTTGGTGGACATGCTAGCAATAGCATGTTATGTTATTGTTAAGCACTGTTATTTATCCATCTAGATGACACCAAATGATTGAGAAATAACATGAGGGAGCAGCAGTAGCTAAAATTTATGCATATGAAAACAATAGCCACAAGATAAGTAGGTATATACACACAGAGTGATCAATTGTTTTCTTCTCTTCGTCTTCTGATTGCTTCTGTCTCCTTAGATACTTTCCTCTTGGTGTCTTTCGGGTTTTAATCTGTGAGTTTTTTTCTTTTTCTTTTTTCTTTTTCTGACAGACAAAAAACCTTCAGCTCCTTCTTCCTTCATTTCCCTGTAGTTTCCATTTTCTTTTTCTCTTATTCTTTCCAAGAGACAAGGAAACATGCAATTGAGTTTTTCTTTTTTCAGCAGAAGGATATATATTCAAAGATTAATTTGATAGGTTTTACTTTTGGCTCAGCAATTAATTCCAGATTCGCAAAACAATTATGGCGGCTGCTTCATCATCCACTCCATTCTTGGGAATCAGAGAAGAAAACTCAAGTCAGATTACACACCATCAACACTCCACAATTGCTCCAACCACAGTGCCTCAAAAGAAACGGAGGAATCAACCTGGAACACCAAGCAAGTAGCTTAGTTGATTTTGATTACTTAACACGCACACACGCGCACAATTTGCCATTTTTTTGTGGGTATCTTCTCAATAACAAACACAAGGAAACCCTAAATCATGAATATGAGTTAGAGCTCTCGATTTCGTCAATTTACTGTAGAGTAATTAAAATGGTTGAATTGCTTTCCTCCAAGTTTCTCAAAAGCATGAGGCTTCGAGTTTAATTTTTTTAATGTTTTTTTAACTTCTATTTTTTCTTATTATTGTTAAAATACGTACGTGGTTTCAAAAGTTAAAAAAAAAAAGAAAAAAGCATACTTCTTCAGTTCCTTGTGCATATTCAATTTGAGTAAGTGATTGAAGCATAGAATTTTCTAATAATTTATTGTTTGTCATTTTTCATGGTGTAAAAGATCCAGATGCTGAGGTGATAGCACTATCTCCCAAGACCCTAATGGCAACAAACAGGTTTATATGTGAAGTGTGCAATAAAGGGTTCCAAAGGGAGCAAAATCTACAGCTTCACAGAAGAGGACACAACCTGCCTTGGAAGCTAAAGCAGAAGACTACAAAAGAGCCAAAAAGAAAGGTTTATTTGTGTCCCGAGCCCACTTGCGTCCATCATGATCCTTCAAGGGCTTTGGGAGACCTCACTGGGATCAAGAAACACTATTCTCGCAAGCACGGTGAGAAGAAGTGGAAGTGCGAAAAGTGCTCAAAGAAATATGCTGTTCAATCTGATTGGAAAGCACATTCCAAGACTTGTGGCACTAGAGAATACAGATGTGATTGTGGCACTCTCTTCTCTAGGTAACAACCCATTTACTCTTAGCTACTCTTGCACATGATCAACTTTATGTACTCTTCACTGATTATGCGAACCAGTTTATGAAAAATTAGGGTTTCTTTTGATCTAGTTTTGTTTATTTTACACTAATCTATAGAATCTTTCAAACTTGGAGCATTTTTATTAAAAGAATTTAAGTGCATGTTTGAAATTCAGCTTATTAAAAAATATATATCTTTTTTTTTTTATCAACTTTAGGAATGAACTTTTAAAATAACAGTGATTATTTCTTTGAGAATTAAAAATTTGCACCAAACATGGGTTATATAAGTTAATTCTATCATATAATGAGTTCTAGCGATGTAGAGAAGAATATACTCGAAACAAAAGTTAAATGTGAACAAGAGATCTCTCCATTTTCCTGTAGTTTATGTCTGGGTGTTAGTGGAGGTAGGGCAGGAGACTGCTCGCACGTGAGTACACTGTTGAAATGGGGTACAAAAATTGAAATGTTTTGCGAAGAAAAAACAAGCAAGTTCAACTTTGGTCCTAGGGAACAGTGCCCCACCCTTATTCCCATTCACGTGTAGTTATGCAACAATGTGAAGGGAACATGCATAGTGATACTGGGTTTGTTCTCACATGTTGGAGATGCTGGGTTTTGTTCTCTTTCGGGTTGGCAATTAGTAGGGCGCGGTTCAAATATATATTCAGTTATTTTTGTTGCAATGGGTCCTATGTGCATAATTGTCACCACTGTCTCCCTATTTCTTCACGTAATTACTGAAACCAATTCTCGACATTAATTGGCCACTCTATAGTTTACCCTTCTCACTGATTTTTTGATAATTTAGCAATTCTTTGATGGTACGGTAGTATTCAAATGAATTCTCATCGTAGAAAATTGACAAGAATTGAGGCAGTTTGCATTTATTGAGCTGGCCCCATATTCGGCCATATGATTATTGACTTTCATCAAAGTTGCAAATAATTCCCTTTTATTGATCAAAGAGAGACCTCAAACTGGCAGTTCGATTTGGATCTCTGGTGTGTATCATATTGTGGCATAATAATCCCCTGGGCCCTCTGCTTCTATTTTAGTTTTCTTAATTTCAAAATAGTACTTTCCAATTTCAAAGAAATTATATTTCCCATTATATTTATAATTTTTTACATTTGTCTACCCTTTGGATTTTGTTGGCTATATGATTCATTTGGTTGGTCAGTTGTTAGGTTACCCATACTCATCATAAAAATAAGTATATGGTTTTATTTTAGAATTTTGCGCCCATGTGGTAGCACATAGTTAGGTTGTTTACCTGGTTAATTAGGAACATTTTGATTATGATCATATTCTCTCAGTAACTCTAAATACCACGTACTTCCAATAATTTAGGTCTTACTTGATACTCAACCTGATTAATTTGGTTTTCTATTATTTCCCAATGTCAATTTCTATAACTACAATTGTGATTAGGTTATATATGTAACATGTAGTTAATCTAACATTTATTTCTTCCAATATTTATGCAGGCGTGACAGTTTCATCACTCATAGGGCCTTCTGTGATGCGCTAGCACAAGAGAGCGCAAGGCACCCCAATGGCTTAAACCCTTTGGGGACTAATTTGTATGGCGCAAACCACATGAGTTTAGGCCTATCTCAAGTGGGTACCCAACTTTCCCAGCTGCAAAATCAGAACCAAACAGCCACTAACAACATTTTGCGCCTTGGCAGTGTTGGTGGTGCAGCAAAGTTTGAGCACTTGATCCCACCTCTAAATCAGTCTTCATTTGGACACTCGCCACAATCAATGCCTCCCTCAGCTTTCTTCATCACTGACAATACAAATCAAGCATTTGAAGAACACCAATCACATCAAGGACCATTCTCAAGCAAGCAACTACAAGGCCTCATGCAACTCCCAGATTTTCAAGGTAACACCAATAACTCCGATTCTTCATCAGTAGCTGCTCCTTCCAATCTTTTCAACCTCAGCTTCTTTCCAAATAGCAACAGCACTGGCACTATAATCACTGATCAATTCAACAACATAAGTGGTAGTGACCAAGGAACAACAACAGCACTCTATGTTAATAACAACCCTGCAGTTAGTGATCAAGTTGGTTCTGGTTTTTCTTCACTCTTTGGAGCCAATTCAATAGTGCAACATGAAAACTTGTCATCCCCTCATATGTCCGCCACCGCATTGCTCCAAAAAGCTGCTCAAATGGGCTCAACCACAACCCCAAACGGTTCTTCTTTACTTAGAGGAGTGTGTAGTTCCTCTAACAACAATGGTTCCAAATCTGAAAATGGACATCATACCACCAGTCTTCATGGGTTGATGAACTCTATTGCCAATGGTGGAAACACGTCCATGTTTGGAAACGAAAACAACCTTTTTCACAACGTGGAGGAGTCCCACAATAAGTTGCCACAAAATCTTAACGTAAGCTTTGGAGGGTCTGATAAGTTGACCTTAGACTTTTTGGGTGTTGGAGGAGTGGTGAGAAACATGAGCGGTGGATTTTCACAAAGGGAACAACAACGTGTCATGGGTACTATGAGTTCTTCGGATCCTGACCTAAAGTCAGCACAGTCAACTCAACATTTTGGAAGGTCAACGCTGCAATAAGGAAACGCAAGATCAGGGGGAGAGAAAACAAAATGCTTGTTACGTATGTATGAACTTGTTTAAAAGATTGTTCTTCCTTTTATTTTATGATCTTTTCCTCAAACGAAGTCTAATTGGTATATTAATTAGGGTTTCAATTCCAAAAATTGCAATCCTTTTGTTTTTCTTTAACACATCCCTTTCCATTCTCATTTTCATTCTCACTTTGACAGCGATAGACATCTAATAATTAAATTTACTGTTTCATTGAATTTCATGAGGCCGTGAGATAAAGTTTAATTTAAGACAGTAAAAAAGCATACGGTAAACCAGACAAGGTTGTGTACAATCTTCACCAAACGAGGATGCTCACTCTTGCTGAGAATCTTCACATATTGGCTATATTCCAATGCAAGCGACAAAGCCTGATTTCCGTTCGATTTCATCCTTGTTTTTTATAAGATATATAATATAATACCAACTAAAGCTACACAAGCATAAAAATAAAGCAATGGATTTTTATCCCCTACCTAATTCATTACTTATAAAGAAAACGTTTTTAAAATGATGTTAAAAAATATACCAAAAGTAAATCTAAAAAAATAATTATGAATTTTAGTACCCATAAAATATTATTTATCTAAGCGTCAATCTATTCTGATACAATTTAAGTCCGACCACATGAAACGCAATTAACGAATTAAGGCCCACACTATGTATGTGCGGTTACATCAACCTATATTTAATTATTAATTAAGATCTTGTTACCGACACTAGAACTTGTGAGAGTCCCTGCACATTTTCAGGTGCTTTTGTTGACATTCCTTAGTTTAACAATGACCCTTTAGGCTTTCATTTTTAAATATTCCTGACCATGTTGACCCATTTTGAAATTCATAGATATCTTCACACACACACACACATACACTCTCTCTCTCGCTCTCTTTCTATCTAAACTACTTAATTTGCATGCTAGCATGCACTTTAGGGGAGTGCCGTCGTTGGTTGGTATTAGGGTTAGGTCTCACGTCATTATTCATTTGGTGGAAGATTTTGATGGCGTTAATGAGGGTGTGGTGGCTGAACACACAGTGTTTCAGCATCCAACAGAAACAGTAGTCTCTGCAATGTTCGTTATTGTAATTATTGGTAAAGCTATTGCGACGCTTTTGTCGCACCCGATGTCATTTCCTTCCTCATATGGGAATCACCGGTCCGTGACCATCAAAGCCAGTCTTTTCATTTCGTCTTTATATAGTGTACCACTTCATTTTTCTTTTTTCTCTTTTTGGATAATTCATTCAAAGTTGAGGAAAAAGCTTCGCAATTCCAATTAATCCTCATTCCACATGTTATCATATCAAACGTGCTAAAACTCTACATGTGGGTTATCCAAACTCATCGGTTATTGAAAAAATCAGTGATATAGCCCTCTATTCATGAAAGATATATTTATAATAGTGGGCAGTGTTTTATTCCGTTAACATTTGAAACGATAGTATATAAATGTTTTAATATATTTAAAAATTTTGCAAACCTTCAGATTCTCCGTACACCAATAGCTAAGGAGTCTAAGAATTGCCACTGGGTGAAGTCCCATAAACTGGTTTCTTGAGTCTCAATAATATGTTTCGTACGAATAATATGAAAATTTCAATCACAAACCGGTTCCTTGAGTTTAGGTACGTGGAAGCTCTCTTCAAATTTATTTATTTAGTTTTTGTTAACTTTCAAAAAAAATAAATTAATGCTTGTGGGAAAAATCCATTTTTAAATACGCTATAACACACAAATGTGTGTGTATATATATATACAAAGTAGATATGAATAGTTTTCTGCCGCGTTGTATTGATAGTAATATTTCGTGAATTAAAGAATCTAACGTGAAAACCAAATTTCTGTATTTGTTTGTCGGTTTGCACGTGATATGATGTAAGCATGCGGCCTTTATCAACCATTATATATTTTGTATGAAATAGTTCTTGAACAAGGTACTTATAAATCGATAATGTTTCTTAAATAATAGTATTTTTATTATATCTTTTTACGTTATGTTTTTATTATTTTTAATTTTTTTATTTTATTTAATACAATAATATTTATTATAACAATTACAACATATTTTTAAAATTTATTAAATTTAAAAAAATTATGTAAGAAAAAGTTTAATTTAATGGTATCCTGCAGTATAAAAAATTACTAGTTAAAATTTAAAATATAGAAAAATGTAACAAATTGGATTTGGCTTAGGCATCAAATAATCAAGTTAAAACGACAATAGAGTTTTAGCATCAAATAATTTACATTGCAATATAATCATCAAATTCTTCTTCTTTTTTTTTTTTTTTTTTTTTTGCAGAAGATAGTTAGTTTTCATTTTTGAAATAAAATCATCTAATTTGTTTAATCTCGTCGATATTGTCAATATTATTTTAAAGGATCGTAAAAGAATTATAGTCAAACTGTTTTTTTATTAGCATAAATTCAGAGCAAATGTACGAGTCAATTTCTTCAAAGACACTTGTAATATTAATTTGATGTTCCAAAAACAAAGAAGTCAAACTAATCTATCAACTAATAAAAAAAAATCAAAATTAAAGAGACGTTTATTAAAGAAGTCAGATATGTTGATTTTTTCATCTTTGGTACACTACCAAGGTTATGTCAAGATATCAAGTGGGTATAATTCTAAATAAGAATTGGAAAAATGAATGATGGATGTAAAAGAATAAAATAAAATTAGAATCATAGGTCTCTGTTTAAATTGTAAAGAGAGGTTGTTAATGTAGTTAGTGCTTGTGCACCTCAGATAAGGTTAGAACTTAGAAGAGAGCAGGGTAAGACTTTAGGAGAATTCAGAAAGTACTCAAGGGAGCATTGTTAAGAGAAAAAAATTAGGAGAACTAAAGGATCATGTGAAGAGAACACTTAGAGGATACGAAGGTGTGCATGGGGATTATGGCCTAGGAAATGTTAATGCAGAGGATAAATCTGTCCTAAATCTTTCATCAATATTAAATTTTACAATAGCAAACACTTGTTTTTAGGAGTAGGAGGAACATCTATCACATGGGTGACATACTCCCCAAAATTGATTTCTTTTGTACATAGAAATCGGATAAAAAGCTTTGCATGGATTACAAAATCATAGCTGGAGAAAGCGTAACTGCTTAAGACAATCTTGGTTATGGAAATTAAAAATTAAGTGAAGAAAAAAAAAACCAAGATTAAGTGTTGCAAGGACCAAGCGATGACAATTGAAGGGTAAAAAGAGCTTTCAATAAAGGATTTTGAAGGAACGGTACTGGGAAGCCCAAGTGCTAATGATATATAAGACAAGATGGTAAAAGTAATTAGGGAGGTAGTAAGAGAGAATGTCGGTAAATCGAAAGAAATGGACCTAAAGGAGAATAATCTTGATAGTGGAATACAAGTGTATATGATAAAGTTAGGGTTAAAATGGAATGTTTTAAGCACAGTCATTATTCAAAAGTGATGAAATTTGATAATATATTAGGCAGCAAAGGAAAAGGTCAAAAAGGTTGTGAACAAAGCAAGAACTAGTGCTTTTAATGGGACTTACAAACCCTTAGGCTCTGACAGAGAAAAAAGTATTTTTATATGCTTGCTAAAGGTAAGGAAAGAAAGATGAAAAACTTAATCTAAATATTACGAAAAATATGAAAGAAAAAATACTGTCAAAAGCTATTTAATAAACGAGAATGCATTTTTATAGACTAAACACTAGTAAGGAAGACCAGAGTTATACTTTTTATCATAGGATTCTGGAGATGATGGATAGTTACAATGCAGTTGGAGTAGTAAATACTATGTTTGATCTTATTTATAATAAACTACTATCAATATTATTTTACCTTAAAATATAAAAAATAAAAACTCATTTCTCAAATATATTAATTGCTAATTTTTTATATCTTTGTTTACTGTAAAATTTATATTATCAATACTCACTCTTTATTGCTATAAGTGAAAATATTCATTCATTTAGGGTGTGTTGAGTACAACATTAAATTTAAACTAACGCACATTACAAGCATAGAAAATAGTTAAGTTTGCCCAATTTTACCGTATTTATCATATTTTAACATTAATGCAAACTCACGTTTAATATATAAGACACCAATTATTACTATAGATATTTCTAAAATAAAGGATAAATTTATAACATATAACTTTTTTTTTATTAATCTTGATGAAAAGTATTTATCTTTTATAAATTGAACTGAAGATAGTATATCTAGTGAAGTATGAAATGGTTTAGGAGGAAAAGAGGAAAATTGATTAACAAAGTTGTTTGACGAAATTGTGATATCTACAAAAAATTTAGACAAGTGGAGTAAAAACACTGTAACTTCGATTTATAACAATAAAGGATATGTACACAAATAATAAGAAAATTAAGTTCATGAACCATACTGAAGGTTAATTGTGGAATAAATATACTTACTGCAACTGATTGAGTGATGTTATTATTATTTTTTTCAAAAGACAAATATGCTTTTCAATGATTTGGAAAGAAAAGGCATAGAATAAGGTACCAACAGATGTATTAAGAAAAGAAAAAAACAAAAAAACACATATTACTTATGTTCGAATAATTAAGGATATGATTAGACGGTCATAACAAGGTGAAGTTACATTAAGAAGTATATGATTTTTGTTTGGGTAAAAATAAGATGGAGTGTATATATAAAGTATATGTTTAGAAAAAATCCCATATATCCTAACTTAAAGGTAAAAATTAAAGACCATATCTCACTAGTCATACTATTAAAGTGTTTAAATTTCCCAGCCTACAAAATGATGGAGAATTAAAAGGAAAGCGTCGTATGTGACAAGAAAAGTCCATTTAAGCTTATGGGAAAATTTTATAGCATCTATAAAGCTTATAATTTTATAAAGAATTAAATGCACGGCTATTAAAAACTAACAAAAGAGACTTAATACCATGACGATCAAAACAAAGAAAGACAATCAAATAGACCTGTTAGTATATATATCCCAGGACAGTGCACTAAGAATGACAAGTTGTGAATAGTAGTCAATTAATGGCTTATTATATTTAAATCACATAATTTTGTTTCCTATTAATAGTTTGTCAACGTAGCATCCCGAAACAGTGCACTAAATCTGTGTGTTCGAAATGCGTCATTCGCGTCGGTTTCAATCACCATATAAGGTGTATCAAACCAGTGTCACTTTAAGAAAGCTACCTAATTTTTTCATACCATAAAATTTAATTTCAATTGATATATATTTTTTTCACATTTTCTATTATCATTCAAGGAACGTAAAGAAATCATTTTCCTTGTGAAAATGTCAAACAAAAATGTTGTTAAGGCTTTTTTCCTTTTCTTTTATTAAGGTACGTGTTTTTTCGTCTTGTCTCCTTGCAAGAGGTACACGTATCGCCTTTTTAGGGGGGGATGTTCACGTTAGTTGTAGAAACTCCAATCCATTTTTATCTAGATCCAATGAATCACAGGTGAAATTTCTGCACATATCCTTATTTAGGTACAACCTTGAATGAAAGGCATTACCGTTGATTAAAACTTCATACCATATGCATCATACTCAAAAAATTGTACCGTTTGGATGCTGTACATCATGTTCTCAGATACTTGAAGAAATCTCCAGGTCAAGGACTCTTTTTCCAATTCAGTTCAAAAATGAAATCATTTTTTTCATTTCACTCTTATCATACCGTGATATTTAATGTATAATATATAATATATATTAAAATATATAAAATCTAAAATGTTAAAAGAAGGTAAAATAAAGCAGATTGTTCGCATATGCCTGAGCTAAACAAAAGTTCTTTATTTTACCCAGCATCTAATTCAGTTTAATCAGGACTGTAAGAACCAAATATGACCCTTTCTTTTTCTGATAATCCTGAACTTATTATACATGCTGGTTTATCCATCACCCATTTCATAGCTTCTACTGTCAATCATTAAGAAAGTATAGAGCTTACTAAGTAGTTGTTTGCATTGGCATAAATAGTATCAAGAGCCCCAGTAGCATAATCCACGTAAGAATTCAAGCTACCATTCAATTAACACCTAAAATAAACTAGTTCAAAAATAGTTTAAAACTAGGGGGAGGGGGGAGCACAAAGACGATTTCTACAAAGAGAACTCCATACTTGATTTATAAAGTATCCTAGACCAAGTAGAATAAACATCAGCATAAAAAATTCATTATCATCAGCAGAGAATGAAACTAGAAAATTCATTATCAGCATAAAGATCTGTGTAGGAAGGTGTCCTAACATTTTTCCAATTTCATCACCAGATGAGAAGAAAAGACCAAGATTACATAATATCAAAACAACAGAAAATGAAACTAGAAAGCAAATTAACATGCATGACTACATCTTTTCTAACCATTGCCATTCCCCATTCAAACATGCAAAGTCTACTACTGAGACGATTTTACATTCAAAAGCATAAAAACATTTTACATTCAATGGTTAGACCATTATAAACAAAGGCATCAGCTGGGTAACTTATCTGCTCAAATGTTCAGGGTGACAAACTGGGACAAAACGAGGTTCAAGACATATACTCTAAAGAAAAAATAAAAAAAGAGAGGACCAAGATTTTACATTATACACAACAAATGAAAATATTTGAACCAAATATAAAGGTAGATTCAGCAGCAATTTTTTTCTTACCATCACTCGTGATAAACTCAGATCAAGTGTTGGATTATATATTTTGCCTCATCCTCATCTACCAAGCCAAAACATTTCAAACCAAGTCCAACGTTCATATGATATTGTTAGATCATAGCAGCAACAGAGACTTAGTCACCGCTAAAATGAATCCAATTTTACAGCCAAATATTAACAGCTACTAGTTTCGAAACATTATGTTCCAATCAAAACAAATCATTGTATTATATCTCTGAACTATTTCCCTCTGTAACATCAACCCAACTATAATGTAATGCAGCACAAAATTACAGCATAGTACAGCAACACAACAGGTACACCTTTTTAGCTTCAACTAAAGATTGCCAAACGCAATAACAGAACTATTCTGTGCAGAGTTAATTACAGTGAAAAATGAAGCACTTTGAATACGCTAACAACACCGAATTGAAAAGACCCTAACTTTCATAGACAATTCACATCCAAAACGCATCGGAATCTAAACAGTAACACTATATGAATCAGTCCATTACATATCCATTAACTAATAAATGTTATCATAGCTCATCAATCTTCGGTTATTAAATTAAAAGAAAACAGGAACCAATAATTTTTATATAATTTGAATAGCTAAAGTATTTTCCAGAATCAGTAGCTACAAAGCAGCTTTGAGAAGAGATACGAAAAATTAAACAGAATTGGTATTGTGTTGAATGCAACGAATCAAACAGATGTAATTGAAATTGAAATCAAAATTCAAACATGGCATTTAGAAAACATTTACCGCGAAAGAAGAGTGAACGAAAGGAAACCCTAATTTCTAGCTGTGCAGAGGAGAAGGGAATTGAGTATGAAGACGAGGTACGGCAAAAAGATCAGTCCAATTTTTAGACCCATCTGGGGGGAAGTTGGCCCATGTCAGGCCCAAATGAAGTCAGGTCCATTTTTTGTTTGTTTTGCAATGTAAGAAAAAACCTAATGTCCCAAAAAAAGAAGACTGAAATTGTTTTCCAATTAATTGGATAAAAAATGTAGTGAGGAGTCATTTGAATGTGGGCTTTTGTAATCATCATAGAGATATGTTATGAACAACAAAGATTTATCTTTTCTTTTTCTAAGCTAGTTGTAAATTAGTAACACCTACAAATTTATCTTTTTGTAGGATATTTAATGCTTTTGTTAATTCATTATCTTATATAGTTATTGGATATTAGTAAGGATTGAATGAGTAAATGGGAATTAGTAGTAACATAAGTCACAAAAGAATTTGAATAAAAAATTTATTGAAAAGATGTGAGTGAATTTATAAATATTCTAAGCTTCATCCATAATTTAACTTTTCTTTGCAAAATCTTTGATCTTAATATCCTTTTTCTTTCTTATCTTCTGCCCATGCACTATTTTCTTTTTATGATTTACCATACCTATCATGGTTGTTCAACAATCATAATAGTAACTATTGAATAACCTTTGTAGAGATGGTGTTTTTAAAATATCTGTAATTTTATTATATTAATGGATACACTTGCCCAACCAAAAAAAAAAAAAGTCAAATCAGTTGTTGAATATGTGTGGATTTAGTTCCTTACATATGTATCAAGTTTTATTGCATGGTTGATAAATAAAAACAAGACAAGTTGGGAAACACAATCATCCTTAACATATTTGACTGTCAATGTTTAAAAAATTTGTCAACACTAATCTGTACAGATAATTTTAAACAGTAATTTTAAAAAAACATTCCACTTTTATAATAAATATATCAAGAAAGAATGTATTCATTAAACAAAAGTAATTTTGATCAAATATTTATTTTTTCAATAAAAATTTTGTTAATTATTTAAAATCAATCATAAGCAGCGTTGTTAAGAAAATCGTTTTTTAAATATTTGGTTTAATTTTCTCAATTATGCAATATGCATCAAACCTTTTAATTGCACCGTTGAGTTATGAAAGACAAGCTAGGGGAATATAATCATGCACAACATACTTGTAATAAGTAGTATGTACATTACATGGATGATAATTGTAAAATATAGGTGAAGTATAAGAATAGTTCAAATAATATTTAGAAGAATATTAGTTTAATTGATGAAGATTATTTTTAAAACGACTTATAAATATTCATTAAGTCTTCTGTTGATTTAAAACATTGATTATTAATTGAAAATTTAATATAACTAAAAACGTTTATTGATTGAATGAAACATACCAAAAAAGAGTTAACGAGAACCGTTCTAATGGTGATCTGTAAATATTTAATTATATTTTATGTCGATGAAATGTTTTTTTTTAATTATCACACTTTTATAATAAATATATACAAACAAGAGGTATTTATTAAAAATAACATAATTTTGGCGTATATTTAATTTTTTAATAAAAAATTAATTTATAATTACTTATAATCACTCCTAAACAATGATGTTAAGAAACTCAATTTTAAAATTACCAATTTAAAAAGCTGGACCAAATAAGAAAGATAAATTTTGTATAGATTAAATAATTAGTTAAAAATAAATACTTTATTTTATTTTTTATGAAAATTTAAAGGAAACATGTTACAAATTTAGAAGACACATTGATTACGTAAACGTATAATATACATGCAGAAATTGTTCCATTATCAAGAATAAATGCTCTATATAAGAGTGGATCGGTGCATACATGTAACATATATAATGGATCATCAATTATTGAAAATTTTATAACAATTCAAGACTTCACTAAATTAATTAATTAACAAGGGACTAAGCATCTCATAGTTTTTAATGATAAAAAGTCATCCTAATTGAACATTTTGTACATGATCAATTATACATTTTAAACTAAATAATTAAGCATTTTTTTTTTTGTTCTTTGTATGTTCTGTTAAACGAATGAAGACTCCCTCACCCGGGAACAGTGGGTGGCTGTAGCCATGGAGTTGTTAAGGAAGATGAAAGAGCCAAACAAGGATTTGGGAAAATAAAATATAATACTAACCACTATTATTTGATGTCAGCACTCAGAGGGAAGAGATTCAACCACAGAATCACTTGAACCCCGTTGCTTAATTTGTGGCAATTGGTTTCCACTATAATACTCATGAATTAGCCAAGTTGCTTAAAGATCCAGTAATATAACAAATGATAAATGCATGCACTGTATATTTAACTACATTACAGCTGAAAAAAGGAATTGATAGGTAAATAATTCATCTAAATGGGTATTATAGAGTTGACACTCACCAAATTGAATGTTCATATTCGCACCCAGCAACTCCATTTCCCCCTAATTTTGAACTGAATTCAGGATTTAATTAATATCTTGCTAAAATTATATAAGATCTTGTACTAACTCATAGGTTGTAAGAACCAATTAATGCAAGATACTTATTCATGAGTAGTAAGATTCGACAACAATTTGATACGATACAGTTGTAATAATTATCAATTATCAATTATCAATCGTACGAAAATTATTTAACAATTATCAATTTCTTTGTCTACACACAAAGATGCAAAAGACAATATTCAAGCTTCAAGATGCCTGGCCTTTTGACCCATCTTGCAGACACCTCTATCAATTATTGAGCATATATGCACATGTTCACTACCGTATCATTTTGTAAATTAGAAATTTCAACAATTAGTAATAGTAAAACTTTACTGAATAAAAAAGTATTTATAATTTTAATGTAATAAATATGCATATTTTTCATAAAATTTATCTATTTATAGATAGTTAAACTTAATCTTAAAGACTGAGGTTAACAAAAACATAACAATTAACTATACACATGTTTGAATTACAAGACACGTTGATATACATACGTAGGGATATATTCAGTGGAAAACAAAAGTGGATTTTGACTCTTTCCTCCTCATTTTTGTTATAGATTCTCGCTACCTGTTCATGATAAAGAGATGAAGTTGCATTTTCCTTTTCATTTCCTCAACGAACAGAGGGATTACATTGGATTAGTCATCACCTACTCCAGTATAAGTTATAGGAAGAACATTGGTAATGGCATGTGAACATGAAAAGTTTCCATGTTTGTCTCACATGCGAAGAGCCAGTGGTAGGTGTGATACCATATATGATTATACTAAGGTCAATACAGACATGCTTTGAGTTTTCTCTTTAAAATCAACCGACATGCTTTGAGTTTTCTCTTTAAAATCAACCGACATGCTTTAAGCTGGCTTTGATAGCTCAATTCCATTTTTAAAATAATTTTCCCCTTTAGATCTGTGTCTGGTTTTGGTATGCCATTTTCTAACATTTCAAGAGACAAATATGTCTATTCTTAATTCATTTACTACTCTTCAAAACGTCTAAAATTACATTCGTCTTTTTTTTAAAGCAGAACCAAACTCATACATATTCAATTAGCTACATCATCTTGAGTGGTTTAATCTATTATTTTTTATCATAATAATACATGTTATGTTTTTAATCTTTGAATTCAAAAATTTTCAAATTAGCTATGTATGGTCTTTACAATTTTGAATTTTTTTTATTTTATCTAAATTAACTATGCATAAATTTTTAAAATTTAATAAAAAGTTTTAAAAAATGGTATGGTTTAAAACCCTCGTTAGTACTATATAAAAAATTGCAGGACGTATCCAGTCAAGATTATGGATACATACAATAACAATACTAACTCCTCAGTTGGTAGGATAACAAATTAATAAGAAAAGGAAGACATCGATATTTGCATATATTTTATTCTAAAATTAAATTATTTATATTTCTGGAATCAGTTTTGTTCCTAAGATAGAAGTAGTATAATTTCGTTAGTAAGTATTATACGAATATTTTTAATTTTAGAAAAAATTAAAAGTAAAAATATTTAAAATTGTCCAAATATGCTAAATAAACAAAATATATAACTATAAAAACAAACAGCTTAAATTTAAGAATAAAAAAAATAAAATATTACAAATTTTTTAAAATTAATTTCAGAGTAAAACTAGTTGAGATTTGAGATTAAATAATAACATATAAAAATTTTTAAGTGATTGAGGTTGAGATTTGATAATAATTTTTCCAACATAAATTAAAGCTTAAAAATAATTAATAATTTGATTTTTTTTAAATATTAAAAATGCTAAATAATAAGAAAGTCACATATTAATATAAAATTTCTAATCATATGTTGCCATATTTTTCTAAAAAGTTTTAAAATATAGAAAAAATGATTAAATACTGGTCTTCTTTGCAATTGCAATAATCAAACTCTTTTAACGCGTTAAAAATATACAATTAAATATAATTAATGTAAAAAAAAAAAACTAGATCAATTTTATACCGTTTAAATTGTTTTGTACATAACTTCTAGGATTGTATTTAATTTCCCTAGCTAAATGTGGGCAAAGTTACATGCGAACTCGTTCATCATAGAAATGAGACCATCGTTGGCGACAACTAAGAGCCCAAGCTGATGCTTAGGTTAAGACTTTCAATCAATTGATATTATATATATAATAATAATAATACTTAATTATTTAATTATTATATAAAATAAGATTAATTCTTAAAACTAAAACAAAAAGCTCATTAATACTTTATTATCTTTACCGAGTGTACAATACATACGAAGACTATGAGCAATTCCTTTTGCTTTTTAGTTTTGTTAATAATAAATTTCATTTTTTTTTTCTGTATTATGAATTATAATTATTCTCATCAGGTTGCACTGTGATCTTGTGGGAGTGTCCCCGTCCTTCTTTGGGTAAGGTTAATTCCTTGTCGCCGATTGGATTTTTTAAAAATTTTAATTATATTTTAACTTTTAACATTTTAATTTAATTATTTAAATTTTTTATTTTTTATTTTTTATTTATTTAAATAAAATATCCTTATTTGATTATATATATATATATAACAAAAATTTACAATGTCTTCAATAATTTTTTATGGTATTGTCTGTTTTATTTTTCACTTCTTTTTCTACAAATCTTTCATAAATTATATTTTTTTATGTAAAAATTTATTGTATTAGTAGTATTACTCTTTTTTTTTTTTTTGTTATTGAGTACTATTACTCTTTGATTTATGATTTCTCGTCGTATCTCGTTCGTTTTCATAGGCACGATGTTAATGGATCAATGTTGCACGGTAACGAGAACATTTAAATCGCATTGACTTTAATATTTGAAATTCTTTATTTTTTAAATTTTAGAAGAACAATGTTTGTTAGACAAAAAAATTATAAGAAAATATAAGATAAAATGAGTAATGTAGTTAAAAAAATTAAAATTCATTATTGTAAAATTATTTTAATAACATTATTATTTTATAAAGTAAAAAATAATGATATATTTTTTATAACTTTATTTTACTTTCAAATTTGTATTATATTCTTTATTAAAAATTTAATTATTTAAAATTTATTTTTGTTTTAAATTAGTGTTTCCTTAAATCTATTAGAATCTAAAAAAAGCTTAAACTTTTTTAATAATTATTAAAATTAATTAAGATATTTCTATAAATATGACATTTGTCTAATGTATCAAAAGCATTGAGATGCCAATGCTAGTTGTTCTTCGAGACTTATTTTTACTTTAATCATAGAATCTGTATATTTTCGTAATGATAAATTATATTTGTTTAAGACTTTTACTTATTACTAGCTTATAATATGTGTCTTCAATATTGATGTATTTATTTACCTATATACAAATAATTAGATGATAAAAAATAATTCAATTTAGAAAGGTAAGGGTAATTTTTATATGGGGTTTGTTGTATGTATAAACAGATTTATATCATGCAATTATAAATGGAGGATCTAAGTGATCATTTTTATTTGTATGAATCACTGTATTATAAATAAAAATATACATATAATTATTTTATTATTTTCCACTTTTTTTTAATTGTGCTTTAAGTTTTACACATAAAAGTTATCACAACATTTTTTTATTTTTAATATAATTTTTAGATTTCTCGTAAATTTTTATGTATACAATTATAAAAATTTTCATATTATTTTACATAATTTTTTTGTACAAATATTTTTATATATAAAATTCAAATACTTGGTATATTATTTTAAAATACAATATATTTTAAAATAATTATAATTTTATTAATTTTTTACTATTTTATTAAAATAAAACACCAATACGTCTTATTAATTATATATGCACTTATATATAGATAGATAGATAGATAAACTGCAAACTAAAAATAATTAAATTATATAATAAACTTTATTTGAAAAAAAAAAGAAAAAGCAAAGGCTTGTTCATATTTCCAGCCCTAACTACTTTATTCTAGTTCTTCTTAACTTCGTGCTTGTATATTAAATAGAAAATACAATTCTTATTTTTTTTATAACATCAATCATAATTTTTTTTTCTATATCTGTCCTCATTGTACCCGATTCACACCTAAAAAATGGACTAGAAAGAATAATTTTCCATCCAAATCCGCGTTGCAGAATACCTTTGGAAGCACTGCTTAAAGTCAATACCAGAGAGTAATTAATTAATAGCTAGATATCCTAATAATATAATATCACCTATGTTTCCAAGAAGGTGAGTCTCAAAGTGAAAAGGAAACTCATCAAGACATGGCTGGTTGAAGTTAAATGGTAAAGAAACAACTATAAAAGGGTGGCTGCACTGCCTCCCTTAAGACCATAACAAAACCAACTCCATAGAAAACTTGGTGGGGGAAATGGGGTCTCTGGTAGCCTCAGCTTCGGTTGCTCTTGTATTGGCCATAATCTTTCTAAGTTTCCCATCTGAAATATCAGCAAACCACTACGGCTATTCATCTCCCCCCCCGCCGGTGAAGCCTTACCACTACCCATCGCCACCACCACCGCCCTACAAGAAGCCATACAAATACCACTCTCCACCCCCACCAGTTCACTACACTCCTCACCCAGTCTACCACTCTCCTCCACCCCCAGAGCACAAGTACCCATACCCACACCCTCACCCTCACCCTCACCCACACCCCCACCCCCACCCCCACCCCTATCCCCACCCAGTGTACCACTCCCCACCACCACCACCACCCCCAAAGAAGCCATACAAATACCCATCTCCACCACCACCAGTGCACAAGTACCCTTCTCCTTCCCCTTACCCTCACCCAGTTTACCACTCTCCTCCACCACCACCTTACAAGAAGCCTTATGCCTACCACTCACCTCCTCCTCCAGTTCACTCTCCTCCTCCTCCACATTACTACTACAAATCTCCTCCACCACCACCTTACAAGAAGCCTTATGCCTACCACTCTCCTCCTCCTCCACATTACTACTACAAATCTCCTCCACCCCCACCTTACCACTAGATTCTCCTTTCCCATTACACCTCATGGTAAACTTTCATAACCTACGTGACATTATATTTTTTTCACAACTTTTTAATTACATTCATTTTCTTTTCTACCTTTATTTATACTATTACTGTGTATATACATCCTATTATTAAAAAAATCAATTTTAAAATTTCTCTTCTAATCTACTTCCATTCTAAATTTGAAACCAAATTCATCTTATGAAGCATTCTTTGATCTCCTTGTATATGCTTTGCAAGTAAAAAAATTATTTTTCTTGATTTTGGTTAAGGGTTGAGACATGGACTGAGACCTATATACGCGTTTTTGTAGGATCTAAGCTGAGTTTATAACATAAAAAGCCACGGATGGGTCGAGCACTTGAGAAATATGGCCGGAAGAATAAGAGGAAATTTTCGCATAAATTTCGTCAAATTGTTTGAATATAGTTTGGAGGACTGCATTTTTTATTTATTCTTCTTGTGTTCTTATTGTAATGAACGGTTGTAAGGCACTGCTCCCTCCATGTACTTGCAGATGCCTGCATGCATTCTAATTTTCAAAAGTATATGTTCGCATTCTAAAATAAATAAAAGTTGAAGTATGTTTTTTTTTTTTTTAAAATTTTTGTATGTTTATGAGTTTCTACCATTAGCTTTTTAATTTTTATATTTTTAACTCCTCATTAAATTACTACGTAATCAACAAAATGACTGTTATATTTATTATTTATGTAATAATAATATTATTATATTAAGAGAGATCAAAGTATATATTTTAAGTTATGTAACTACAAATATTTAAAATATTAAAATACAATATGTCAAATTTTCATATAATCAACACGAGCCTAACATTCTCATAGGTAATTAACATAACAAGTTTATCATTTTAATAAAACGATAACTATCCAAAAGTAAATAAAAATACGGCCTATACTTGCAATATATATCCGTCAATAAGTTTACTATATACTTTCTTCAGAGTTTGTTTCCGTATCAGACTAATTTTTTTAGCGTGTGTTTGGTTTGTGAAACTTATAGAGAAAAATAAAATATGGAAGGGGAAACATGAAAATTGAAGGTTTTTTTAAAGTTGGAATGAAGAAAAATAAAATAAATAAATAATAGGATTTATGCATAAAAATAATCCTTTTAATTTGAAAAGAAAATGAAGGGAGAAGATATCACTAAATAAAGTTGATATGTATGTATGTCTTCTCACTGGATAACATTTGTATTCCTGTTTTTTTCACTCAGCTACCCGAAAAGCTACAAACTCTACCCTTTTGACACAAGTAATATTTTAAACGGAAATTTTTGTCTAAGATCTTTCTTACGGAAATGTTCTGAAAACAAATTCACCAAATATTTTTTTATTTGTCATCTCTAAAAAAATAAATAGAATTAACAATATTTTTTCTCAAAAAAAATCATTTTACAGACCAATTTTTAAAAAACAAGTACAATAAAACAAGAGCCTTTTATTTTGTAATAAAACATGAAAAGAGAAAACTTTTGCACTTCTACAATAGAATGCTCATTGGTAAAAGGAATTAATTATTGTTAAATTAAGACAAGAGGAAGCTAGGTATGTAGTAAAATCAATTTGAAGACCATTTAGAATAATGTATTGTATGGATAATGAGTCTCTTATATTAATAATAAGCTTTACATTTTACTTTTATATTTGTGTAAATGAGTTAACATGCAAAATAGTAATGGGATATTTGATGGGGAAATGAGAAAGTTTGACACAAGTGTAAAATAAATTTACGAAAACGTAGTAAAAAAATATTATTTCTATAATCTATCTCTATATATAATCGGTATATTTTCATCAATAGTTTAATTAAGTGATTATTTACTATACGAAAAATTATGATATAAAAATAATTATAAAATTTATTAAAATAAACTAAAAAATATATTTTAATAAATTATACTAAAAAATTATTAAAATAAATTGAAAAAAATTATAAATGTTATAAACTATTTTCACGTTATATAATTAATATACAGAGAAATAGATTAGTTTTAAATTTGATATTTGGACACATGCACATGCGTAACCAATTTATACATTAGAAAACTCAGCAATTGCATTCTAAATTGTTTGACTGATTAATTAATACAATTATTTACCAGATACAGCAAATTATTATCCTTAACTATATTTTAAAATGATATAAATACCCGTAAAAACTTGTGTCTTCACGGCAGGATGGAATATATGAAGCACTGATAAATGCTAAATTTTAGGCTAAATACGATTTATATGAAAAGAAAAACTTCGTTTTTAAACTGGAAAACGCAATTTCTTAAATTTAGTAAGCTGTACTTGTTAATTTCAATAAGTTTTTTTGAACGTTCATGGCTGGTTTGATAAAGATGCACTGATTCGTGAATAAATTAAAAAGGGCTTAACCCAGAATAAACTATAACAACAACCAAACGAGAGTTAAGTGAATCGTGATTTTAAATTAAGATAGGTAGATAGGTAGATCAAATGTCCATTGCTTGAAGATTAAATTAAGTTTGTGAAATGTAAAGCACTATCTAATACTTTTAAAAAAATATTTAATGATATTTTTTTAAAAAAACTTATAAATACAAAATTATAACTTTCATAATTGCATGTTTTTAAATTTTTAAATTTAATTTTTTTATTAATTATTTTCTTTTCTCTCTAACCCTCCAAACCTTTTCTTTTTTTCACCTTCTAAAATTTCAAATAAAGCCTAAAAAATTTACTTTTAAAAATTTTCAAGTCTTAGATATCAAAATATTAAACCAAGTCCAATTCTTGACGTTTTTTTTCCTCTGAATTTTGAGTCACTCCTTGACATGTACGATGAACAGTTTTATTAATAATTGTAGTTATTTAAATAATTCAAACAAATGTCATATATATGATTCTCTCCCTGATTTTTATAATAAATATATAAATTATAAAAAATAATAAAAAATGATTATAGTTATAAATTTATAGTAAAATTAAAAACATGTACAATAGTAAATGATTAAGTTAATAGTAATACACTAAATAAATGTATCTATCAGCTTATATATAACAATAAGTATGTGAATAGATCTCACAGTAAATAAAAATATATTAACAATTAATACATTTAAAAATAAGTATTTATTTTATATATTTTGAAAAATATGAGTAATAATTATTCTTATAAATAAAAATGAAAGAAACGTTATATATAACAATTTTTTAACGGGTGTTTAAGAATATATAATATAAATTTTTTTAGCATAATTTTTATATTAAAAATTATAACATATCATAAAATTCAATGGACAAGTAAGATTGAATGTTACAATTTTCAATAAAAATTTAGCATTTATTAATTTTTTTATTGTGTGTCTTTCGATGTAAGTTAAAAATATTGTATATATAATATTTTTATTTTCTGCATATATATTGAAAAACTAAAAAGAAAAAGGTGAATTTTTTTTTTCCAATAGCTGTTAAACAAATATTTTCGTTTCATTAGAAATTTAGAACAACACCACTACTTGTTTAATTCACCGCGCAGTTCAATATTCTGCGATTACTTTCGTGAAAAGAGATCAAGTTGCACTCTGGTCTCTCTTTCCTGTAATTTAACTTTCCCAAGAAATTGAGAGCGAAAACAGAAATAGAGATCACATTGTATTGGGATTTAGGACAACATTTCAATGGTCTTAAAGCTTTTGAACCATCAATAGCTCAACCTATTAAATTGTAATAGCACTTTATTTTTGTCTTAGAGTGTGAATGTGCTTCCTTCTTCATTGTATTAGTCATCACCTACTCCAGTAAGTTACTGTTATAGGCAAAATATTGACAATGGCACGTGAAACGGTGCTTCCTAAATGGAGCATATAATAAGATTTTTTGTTGTATGACAGAAGATGTCACCAATCAAATGGGCGAGATTTTAATAAACTTTGGTTGGCTCATTAAAAAAAAAATTAGGTCAAATTTATGTTTTTAAAATTTGTAGAATCTTATTTAAAATATGTATATTAATCTCTTTCATATAACATCCGGTCAGTGTCATTATATTTGTATATAGTATATAATAATGTCAATGTCGACGTGCTTTGAGCTGGCTACGAAAGTTCAACTCCCATTTTTAAATGTTTTTTCTACTTTAGAATATGGTCTGGGAGTGTACCATTTTCTCAGTTGATGCCTTCCCATTTCCCCTTTTATGTGATATCTTTTATTGTGTATATTGTACAATTTTTTCGATAGAGATGAGAGTTAAACAAAATCACAAACTTTAATGATGTTATTCAAAATAATCGATGTAAAAATCTTACATCTAGGTAAATTTTAAACTCTTTAAATTGACTTTTAATATTCTATTTATTTTGTGTGAAATCAGGATAGGTTTATTGCATAGAAATTGAGGCAAGACCTGCAGGCGACAACTAAGAGCACAAGTTGATGCCTAGGTACGTTTAGGCTTTAAATCAAGACGTAGATAAGACCATTCACATCCGTGCATTCCAATAAAATGAAATAATTAAGAATAATCACTTACTTTTTAACAGGTGTGGGCAATTATATTTTGTTTTTCATAAAAGTTTATTTTTCGCATTTAGAACTATAACTGTTCATAGCTTTTAGTTCCTAAACACTTAAATTTTGTTTTACATCAGTTGCTTAATTTAACTCTTCTTAATGCATTAGTTATATTAATGTATGATTACGACGGTTTATTTATTACTGATACGATTAATTAAATTGTGTCGACTTAAAGATTTAATTTCGACCCCTGTCAATTATAGAATGATATATCTTTTTCTCCAACCTTTTTTTAATTGTAGAAGAAGACGGATGTTCTGTTTTTATATTAATTCCTTCAAAGTGTCAAAATAAAAAACTTTTGCTCGTAAAATTTGGCTTAACTGATAAAATCTAAATTAATTACGTTCATAAAAAGATAACAGTGGTACACTTTGACTTTAGTTAAAATAAAAGAAACTTGTCTCGATATTAATTTTGAGTTATTCTCTCTCTTTTAAATTGTCTCTACTGATTTAGAGCATGTTTGGTAAAAAAATTTATAAAAAAAGTTGTTGATACTAATTAAAATTAGGTTTGGGTGAAAATATAAAAAATTATAAATTGTTATTTTTTAAAGAGAAAAGCTGTTGAGTTAAAAGCTAAAAATTAGATATTCTCTTTAGAAGGCTGTTGAGATAAAATAAATTTTTTTAATAATTACTTTTCAGCAAATATATCTAAATAAAAATAAATTTTATATATAATCGATTCTACACACAATTAATTCTTCAAATAATTTAATTTTTGCAGCTATTTCAGACATTTTCTTAGTTTTAACTCTTTATAATTTGTTGCAATGTTTTTTGTATGTACTTTTCTATCTGGATCTTGTTTTGCAAAACAGATACACATATTTTAGTTCATAAACTATAAATAGATTATCTATATAAAAGTTTTTTTATTGTTAATTATATAATTTATTAACAAATTACTCCAGTATTTATGTGTATGACAAATGATGTTTAAATGTTGAGTCTTTTTTTTTTAACATATGTTAAATGAATTCCATTTATTCAATATTCGTTCTTTGTTTCTTAAAGTATCTTTTATAGATTTTACAAGTGAGGGAGTAATTTTGTTGAAATATATACTGTCAAGCGTACGTCAAATAATTCTTTTAATAATATTTCTTCTAGAAATCTACATAGTTCTTAGATTATTTTTTTTCCTAATAATATCAGCATGTGTTAATCTATATTTAGTGTCTGTTTGTTTTAGCGTTTTCCATTTCTGTTCTCAAATTTTCATGCATGTATATAATAATATTAATTCAAGTTTTTATTTAATTGATCAGATAGATCTGGCAGATAGAGATGAAAATTTGTTTTGTATCCCGTATAAACATCACATACAGCTTTAGATAATGGCACGAGATTTCTAAATTGGATATCTGAAAGAAAATATATACAAGAATAAATAATTAGAAACAATGGAAAAAGTATTTAAGAACAGTTACTATTAACAATATACCTTAAAACATTTAAATCTGTTTCAATTTGCAAAAAAAAAAAAAAAAAAACTGGACAGTTCAATTCTATTTTTGTTCAAATAAAAATATAATTGATAAATTTTCTTATCTTAAATAATTTTACAAAGACATAAACCGAAAAACGCGCAGAGAGATGTTTAGAAGCAATAAATAATTAAATCAGCTTATTGTCTTCTCTTTATGCGTAATGAAGGTGTCAACATTTGTGGCTTCGCTTGCAGCCTCATCAAATACAAATCCACGTTCCAAAGCGCTGTGTGTCTCGTTTTTCCAATTAAAAGTCAATACTATACCAATAAATCAACGTGTTTCCAAGAAGAATAATAATAATATTACCCTCTCTTCTCTTATATATGTCCTATTTTATTCTAAAATTATAAGTTGGCATTCGCTTTTTAGATATAAAGTGATCTAAAATATAAAATAAAAACTAAATTTAGTAGAATTAAGAAAAATATCCTTCTTTATTGAGAATAATTTTTATACACTAACAATCAAAATACCCCTAAAATCAATTATCACTTCAACTACGACAACTCTTCAATTTGTTTTGCGTGCATTTGAATACTCCAACTTGCGTGCATTTCACTGACACAAATATCAAGACTCTGTAAGAAACCAACTATAAAAGGGGGTTCCCTAGCTCTGATATGAGCAGAACCAAAACCAACTCCACAGAAAATTTGGAGGGGAAAATGGGGTCTCTGGTAGCCTCAGCTTCGGTTGCTCTTGCATTGGCCATAATCTTTCTAAGTTTCCCATCTGAAATATCAGCAAACCACTACGGCTATTCGTCTCCCCCGCCGCCGGTGAAGCCTTACCACTACCCATCACCACCACCACCGCCCTACAAGAAGCCATACAAATACCACTCTCCACCCCCACCAGTTCACTACACTCCTCACCCAGTCTACCACTCTCCCCCACCCCCAGAGCACAAGTACCCACACCCTCACCCTCACCCTCACCCTCACCCTCACCCACACCCCCACCCCCGCCCCTATCCCCACCCAGTGTACCACTCCCCACCACCACCACCCCCAAAGAAGCCATACAAATACCCATCTCCACCACCACCAGTGCACAAGTACCCTTCTCCTTCCCCTTACCCTCACCCAGTTTACCACTCTCCTCCACCACCACCTTACAAGAAGCCTTATGCCTACCACTCACCTCCTCCTCCAGTTCACTCTCCTCCTCCTCCACATTACTACTACAAATCTCCTCCTCCCCCTCCCTACCACTAGATTCTTCTGTCCCACCACACCTCATGGTAATCTTTCACACAAAATACATCAATATTTTCACTTATAAGTTGTTGTTTTACTATTTAATTGATATGTTAGTCTCCATTCACGTACGATCTTTTTCCTTCTTTTATTAACGGATAATCAGGCATGAACTGACAAACCAAAATATATACGTATATGCGTTGTGTAGGATCTAAGCAAAAAGTGTGAAGACAGAGAAAGCTATGGATTGGACGGAGCGGTGCCCGCACTTTACAAATACATAGAGCAGTAGTATAAGGGGAATATTATCACATATTTTGTCATAAGTGTTTGATTGTTGTCATTGTTTAGAGGAGTGTGTCTAGTGGTTTATTTCATTTTCAACTGTGTTTTTGTTGTACTAGACAGTTGTCATGCACTGTCTTGTCTGCATGCATTTGTGATTTTCAAAGTCTGACCAGTCAATATTCCCTCTCTGTCGTCGTGGGAATAAATTTGTATCTAAGGTCTTTCCTTTTCCCTATTTGTCATAGTAATATTTTACTTTAAACGTTTTTAATTCATTATTTTTCTGTTAATTTTTTGTACATTTTCAATCAATAATATTTAAAACATAGAATGTTAATTTTTTTTATAAACTCAAATTTATTAAAATAAAATTTTAATTATTACTAACGTTGTTTAGTTATCAAAATTTAAATTTTATTCAGATAATATGTAATAATATTAAATATAAATATTTTATTAAAATTAAATTTATTTTTTTATAAACTCATTAAAATTATCTATAAAATAATATATCTTTTATCAAATTAGAAGTGTAAGTGTATTTCAGTTCTTTCACGAAAATAAAACTAACTAAAAATAAGAACTAAGAAAAATGACAAGTCATTGGTTAAGAAATTAAATACAGTTTTTAAAAATGTTATTAATGTGCCTTTCATAATTTAAAAAAAATTGTTCTTATCAACAGATAAAAAATATTGAATTTTAAAATTATTATCATTGGTAATAAATTTATTTAATAAAAAACAAATTATTGTCATAAACTTTTAAAGTTTACAATAATAATATAATGTATTTTATTAATATTTAATATATTAATGATATATATCAATATTTCAAAACATTAACATAATCATTTATTAGTATAATATGACAGATAAAAGTTAAGTTTAAAAGATTTTAAACCCTAATTATTTTCTCACGTTGAACCGTGAAATGGCCTGCTCGACTCGGTAGTAGTGTTAATATCCTATTTCCTCATTACATTTTCCGAATCGTAATAAGTTGCAGAAAAACTTGTAAAAAAAAAGAAAGAGAAAAACAGGCATAGCAGAAATTAGGGAGAACGTGGATGCAGGAATGTTGAACTTTGGGTTGTTGGGGAAACGGAGAACCTTCACTCATGGCTGAAACAATAATCCTTCAGTCAGACGAGAGAGAAACAAGAGAAGGTGAAGCCAAAACTCTAAAAAAAAATTATGATGAACTACAGTTTAACCTTTAGAAATCTACACTACAATCCTAATTATTTTTTTTTATCATAATGTAAAAATGAAAAAAAAAAAACTCATGGGTTTAACCTATGCTATGTTTTTCCATTTTAATATTTTTATATGGCGAACCAACCTGTGAATTAACTAAATTAATGAATTAAGCTGTGTTGACATTTTTCTTGCTTTCAGGTTTGGTTAAACTTACCTTCGAACTTGATCTGTAGTGAATTAATCTAAATCAAACAGGTTGACTCGCTCAGACAATTCTAAATATAATAAAACTTCACATTATTGCATCAATCTTTAAAATTAAATCTTGGTTAGAAGCTTGAGATTATGATTGAACATTTATTAAATCTATTACGAATATCAAGTTAAAATCACCATTACTGAACTACCCATAAATCATGAGAATCATGGGCAGTAAAATTATTACTCACAGGTACAAAATAAATTTAAAAAATTCCTTTTTAAAAAATACGAATAATTTTGATATTCTATTCAAATTGTAACACAAAGTATCATTATTTTAACTGTTATATATCATTTTTATTCTTAAATTTAATTATATATATAATTTTAATTTTTTATTTAACTTATATTTAATAATTTATTATTTATTATTTTTTTACTGTTAGATATAAGTTAAATAAAAAAATTATATCGAATATAAAATTTTTTCTTATACTAGTATAAAATATATATATATATATATATATATATATATATAATTTTATTGTTAGATTAAATATCAATAAAAAAGTAATTTTAACATAAAAATTAAATATTACTCTTCATATATGATTAAATTATTTAAACATAAATATATTTACAAATTTTAAATTTATTTTACCATATTTTATTTAGAGTACAATTTTAAAAAAATTATCATGTCAATAGATCTATAAAATGTCAAAGTTAAATATGTGATAAAACATATATTGGAGACTAATAAATTTTTCAGATAAATATAATATAATTTATTTTATTTTATAATTAATTTAAAATGTCACGACAAAAAATATAAACAAATAATTATAAATTTTTTATTCTTATTTTAAATAGATATTAATCTTATATTATAGTGTAATAATAAATTTAATTTTTTCAATACATTATATTGAGATATGTATTATTAATATTTTAAAATTTATTTTATTAATAATAAAATAAATATTAGTATAACACATTTTTTAGGAAAATACCAATACAATACGTCATTTATTAATTTAGACTTTATAATTTTGTAAAATTTGTATTATTTTATAAAATAAATATTAAATAAAACTGTATATATTAATTATTTAAAAATTAATATTTATATATAATAATTAAAATATATACATAAATAAAAATAAGAGAATTGAAATTATTTTGTATTTGTTTTAAAAAAATCATTATATATATTTTTGTTAATACACCCACGTGTCACGCTGCATGTTCAGCTTCACTGCCGCATGCTGCCACGTTCCCATGCATTATGAATTTACGGTCGTACCCTCTTCAACGACCGCCGTACACCCACGAAAAGGAGCTACAGAACCTCAATGAAGGTTAAAATGGTCTGGAAAATCCCCATTAAAATGGAGGAGAAGAGTGAAATGGGCGGCAGACAGAGGTAGCTAGGTAGCACAAAGATGTTCTCAAAACCAGGCCTGGCCCTCACGTGTTTTGCACGTGTTTCGTTCTTCCTCTGCGCTCTAATCCTATCTTGCGCTTTCCATGGAACAAGCTTAGAGAACCACGAAACCACGATTCAGGACATAGCTAGGAAGCTGAAGCTCCGTGACAACGACCTTCTTCGAACGGAGAAAAAGTTCAACATTTTCATGCAAAATCACGGGAAGAAATACGCCACCAGGGAAGAGTATTTGCGCCGTTTGGGGATTTTCGCCAAAAACATGGTCAGAGCCGCAGAGCACCAGGCGCTGGACCCCACCGCCATCCACGGCGTCACACAGTTCTCCGATCTCACGGAGGAGGAGTTTGAGCGGTTATACACCGGAGTGAACGGCGAGCTCCCGTGGAATAACGGCGCCGGTGATGAAGCGCCGGTATTAGAGGTGGATGGGCTGCCGGAGAATTTTGATTGGAGGGATAAAGGAGCTGTTACTGAAGTTAAGATGCAGGTATTTTAGTTAAATTCGTTTTAAGCTTTTTAATGAACATTTATGTGGGAGTTTTCTAGTTAAATTCGTGTTATTAATCGGCTTTTAAAAGGTTTGCGTTTATAGGCGTTAATTTGTTTAAACTGAATTTCGTGCTGGTTTTTAACCAAAATCTACTTTGGTCATAACTGATTTTTTAAAATCAGTTAACCAAACCACTTTAACTTGTTGACAACTAGAGCAGTTTAGTTTAAAATTCAGTTTAAATTGTTTGGGTTTCTTAAGCATGATTTGGTTTGGATAATTGGATTTTTGCAAAGTATTAGAAAAGATGGGATATGTTTAATTGTCATACAAATAAATTTGATAATTTAAAAAAAAATAAAAATTCATATGCATAATATTCGTCAATATCTGTGGATAATTTTGGTACAGGGTAGTTGTGGATCATGCTGGGCTTTCAGCACTACAGGATCTATAGAAGGAGCCAATTTTATTGCCACCGGAAAGCTACTCAGTCTCAGTGAGCAACAGCTCGTAGACTGTGACAACAAGGTATATATCTCTTATGTATTTAAGGATTGTTATTATTCAGCTAGAGTCATTTTCATTAATCAATATTCGGCTATGCTCTACGATTGACCTGAATCTTTCTTCATTAAATGCACATAAAATTTAAATAAATTTCACAAACTTTTATGCATCCCCATTCATTCTTTTACAGAAATTTTTTTTAAATAAATCATTTTCGCTCTTTCTATTATTGTTTTTCCCTGAGTTCCTGTTCTATTTTTCCCCCCTAAGTGTGACATAACAGAACGTAGATCCTGTGACAATGGCTGTAATGGAGGTCTTATGACAAACGCCTATAATTATTTGATTGAGGCTGGTGGATTGGAAGAAGAGTCTTCATACCCCTACAGTGGGCAGAGAGGTGAATGTAAGTTTGATCCAGAGAAAATAGCAGTTAGAATCACAAATTTCACCAATATCCCAGTGGATGAGAATCAAATTGCTGCATATTTAGTCAACCATGGTCCACTAGCAAGTAAGTAACCTTAATAAAACAAAACCAAATTAATATTTATATGTAATATTTGCACTAGCATGCAGCTCATCGTTTAGCTAGTAATGTTCTATTGATCTTTGTATGATAAATTAATATTCATGGGGGTTCATGAAATCTAATATGCAGTGGGCCTGAATGCGATTTTCATGCAAACTTACATTGGTGGTGTCTCATGCCCTCTCATCTGTGGCAAGAGATGGCTCAATCACGGTGTGTTACTTGTAGGATATGGTGCAAAAGGCTTCTCCATTCTCAGGCTTGGTAACAAACCATACTGGATCATCAAGAATTCATGGGGCAAAAATTGGGGAGAACATGGATATTACAGGCTTTGCCGAGGGCATGGTATGTGTGGAATGAACACAATGGTTTCTGCTGCAATGGTGGCTCAAACACAAACGATTGTAAACAATTATGCGTCCTATTAGCTAGCTACTTCTGCCATTGCCTCGTTATGAAGACAGAAAAAGTGTGAAACCGAAATAAGTTATGATGCACTTTAGCTAGGGAAATATTTTCAATCTAGGTGATGCATGTACCAAAAATATTTTTCCGAATTAACATATATTGACACAAGTTGCTATGTTTAGCATATGTCACGTTGTTGTTAGTTTAATTCGGTATAATATTTTGGTACAAAAAGTCCTGTTAGTTTTTATAAGTTTGTATCTCTTCTCTTGTTTCTTTAGATTATGGTATCTAAGAAAGAAGACCTACAAATGTACCGAAGTTTGTACTGCGGTGCGATATTATATTTGTTTAGCAATATAATGCATAGGGTGTACTATAGTAAAGATGTTGCAGGGTTGAAAATTTTATAGCATTTCAGTATCTGGTTACAAACTGTAATTTTTGTTGGTGTGGATTAGGATTTTGAATGTGAGATTTTACTATCTAACAGTGTGTAAAAGGTTAAGGGCCATAGACTAATATTCACTCTTAAATTGGTTGTTAACCCGTGAATTTTATTGTTTAACAGTGTTCAAAATGTTAGAGGTGGATGAATGGTAAAAATGAAAACCAAGTAAGTGATAAAGAGTCACAAGTTCTATAATTAAAATCACTAAAGAATATCAATTCTCCGTTGTAGTCTAGTTGGTTAGGATACTCGGCTCTCACCCGAGAGACCCGGGTTCAAGTCCCGGCAACGGAATTTTTGCTTTCTTTTTTCTATTTTTTTAAATTACAGTTGTGGAGAAAATCGATAATTTTTGGATGGGGAGTAATCTGTATTGTTAAAACTATATTATCTTCTCCATTAATGTTAGATCATTTTTAAAAATTTTAATGTACTTTATGTAATTGTTAATAAAAAAAAATTGATTAATAAAAGAATATCTTAAAAATCTTTATTACTAAGAAAATAATAATTTGTCAATTAATTTTCGGATGGAAAGTAATCATGTTTGTCAATTTTATATGATCTTTTTTTCATTAACGTACACAACATCTATAATTGGCTTATCACCTTGCTTTTACTTCGCGTTGGTGTTAGTATCCTCAAATGTAAGTATTAATTGATGCACTTGAATTTTCGAAAATGATAATTTGACACTTAAAGTAGGTGTGAAATAGATAGAGGAAAGAGAGATAAAAAATATAAGAAAAATCAAATATAAAAATATAATAGTTGTTTAAAATTATAAAAAATAATATTTTCATACGTGGAGACATGGTTCCAATTGTAATTTTGTTTATATTGGGATGCAGATACACTTCATTTAATATGAAAATTGAGCGTGAAAAAAAATTATACAAAATTAGTTTAAGCAAATTATTTTGTTTGAACAAATTTTGTGTTTTCTCTCTAATTTTTTTTTTTACCTAATATTTTTTCTTTAACTTTCATATTTAATATATATTTTCTCTCATATTCAGCTCTCTAGCCTCTCTCCCAACTCCTCTCTTCTACTTCTCATTCTCACTCTACCTTATTTATATTTTTCTCTCTTTGCTCCATACCTAATTCTCTACTTATCTTTATCTATCTTCAATTTTCTATTCTCTTCACAACGAGCCTCAATCTCCTTAAATACACAAAATTTACTTAAGTTAAAATAATTTGTTTAAACAAATTTACAAAATTTAATTTAAGCCAAAAAATTTTTGCTCAAACTAATTTTACATAAAAAATTATTATTTTTTATATTTTCACTTAAAAAAAATGAAACAGAATATTCAGTTCTCGTGTTAATTAGAGCGATTCGCATCCTAAATATTATAAGGTCGTCAATGAACAAATAATTACTTATTATTTTATGTTGAAAATACATTTAATTTTGTAAATTATTTAATTTTATAAGTAATAATATAATAATTATTTATTGATGTAATCCATACAAAACATATAAATAAAATTTAGATAATAATTTTTTGGTGAGTTATCTTAATTTTGTTGGTATTTATGAATTTTGTTGAATGAATTCAATTAATATAATTTAAATTAATTAAAAATTAACAAGTTTATTATAATAAACGAGTCAATTTGAATAAAAATATTAAAATTGAATAAAATACGAATTAATAATGTTAAAAAACTAAACTTAATAAACTTGATCATTTATCACACGAGTGTTTTTATAACTCTATACTATTTTGATTTTTCTTTAATATTATATCATGTTTTAAAATTAATAATTTTATATTAATTTTTAATAAATTTATTATTTTTGATGTTAAAATTGAATAATCAATCATACATATAATTTTAATTCTTTTACTATAGTACCTATTCAGAAGTTAGTTTAAATCAAGTAAAAAAAAATTACCAAAATTAACTGATAAAATTTTAATGAATAATTTTTATATCAAATCCAACCAAATCTGCACCTACATTTGGCCATAATTGCCTTTGCTCGTCAGTTTTGGTTGGTAGGCAATCTCCATAAGATGAAAGGGTTTCATTCACCAACCATCGTCTCGAACTCTCTTTTGGGCACGTCAAAGCCATGTCAGCAGGATATCCCTAGCTAATAACGAGCCAATTCCAAGTTTTAAACTGTTCCTAGCCACACACGATACAAAGCAGTTACCCAGTCAAAATCACACGTCCCTACACACCTTTTTTCAATTTAATTTTGATATATTATTAATATTATAAATTACATTATTGCTCAATTAATAAGCATCTTTAAAATCAATTATTATAAAAATTAATAATCTAAAATTCATGATTAAATAATAATGTATAACATTTTTTGTGCTGTATATTTGTGCACATTCTAATTCGATTCATTTTCTTGTTATTAGACAGATAAGGGTACTTAAACTTGTGAGAGTAATACTGAAATGGTGCCTCGTTATGACCATAAATGACTAAAAGCCCCTCAAGTATGTTTTTTATCCTTATCTTCTTTGCTCTCGTGACTGGTTGGTGGCGGGTATTGTAGTCATATTCGCATTACACGTTACAACTACTGTGTAACGTCAACAACAACTTTTATGATTCATCCAAATCGTAGAAAATGAAAAACAGGGACAATTATATTAAAAAAAAAAAAAAAAACTGGCGAGTCGCCACAGACACATGTCCTCAAGCAAAACCGAAGAAATGAAAAAGGCAGGAAGGTGAGAAAAAGACACGTTTGATAATTGTTGCAGCTGAATGCTTGTAAATGACTCACCCATTTTCCAAAATCCTACCTTGGGATTTTTTGCATATGTTTCTCCTTCAATTAAGCTCTTTGCTCAGGCACCACCTCGTACCCTTGCTTAAAGAACCATAAGGGTATTGCTCAATTCTCTTTTTTATGAAGACGTCACAGAAAAGTCTCAAAGTTTTGATTTTGTTTCATGTTTCATTTGCTGCTTTTCTGATCTCTATTCAGTTTGTGCTTTTGCGCTTGTTTTGCCGAATGCATTACTCATTGAGGGGAAACGTTGATGGGTTTTGTCTCTTACTTGGAGTTATTGGGAATCTCATGTTATTTCCTTTGTGTTTTATGTTCTTTGCGTGCATGCTTGTTTCATTTCATTGCTTTCTAGATCAAGCTGTGTTATCTTAATTATACATTTGAAACCAAATCAGAAGTCTTTATCTTAATTATACTGTGATGATGTGAAAATTGGTCTGTAGGGCATTAGCCCAAAGATGGTTTCCTTTATTGGTCTAAAATTCCTCTTCCTTTATTGCTTTTATTAAATCTATGTTGGGCCCTTCTAGTGAGGAAGATTTTAGATCTAGAAATAGCACGTGTTTTTCAGCTACTGTGTTTTATCTCAGATCTGGAAGTGAAGTAGATTGAATTAATGAATAAAATTTGCATTTATTGAGTATTACATAGGACTAATATTTTATGGGGCTTAAGATGATATGGGTCTCTCGACTAACTAGATCTAGGTGTAATTGAATGCTTTGACAATGAGGATTTCTGTGTATATAGACTCATTTTATTCCAATTTGAAGTTGAATTCTATTTGGATAATCATGCATCAAGTTTTTATAGTATAATGCAGGGGTGGGGTGGAGGAGCTAGGTTCACTATAATTGAGGTTACTCTTACTGTTGGAAATGGTGTTCCCATATCTAAATAACCAGAAATGAATGTCGTCAGTACATGTTTGCTTTAGCCAGGAGTTTGAACTTGTGAGACCCCACGCTCTGTCATTTAATCATTTCAATTGCTGGCCAAAACTGGAACGCAAAGTAGGTACAAGGTGGAGTCTTAAACAAATTGGCTTGTTAAATATTTTGTGTGCCATCTTTTTGGCCCCAGTGTTAGCTTGTGCATGACTCGGCTTTTGAGTGTGTGCGTGTGATATTTTAACATATCACACATAGCTTTTATCACCACTAATCCATTTATTTAGTTTTTCTTATAAAAGGGAAGATTATAATGTGGAACCAATCAATGCAAAGGAAATATGAGCTTTGGAGGTAGATATATTTTATGGGTGTTGGTAATGGTATAGATGATTGTTTAATTAACGTATCATATAATGTCTTAAAATGAAATGCATGAAGAAAATGACCCTTGAAAGAAGATATTTACGAGTGTTTGTGTGAATAATTTGTGAAATTTACTTTTCATCCTTTTTTTCAATTTGTACTTCACCTTGTTTAATTTTTCCTTGTACCAGTTTTACTAGTGTTCCACAATAAACACAAATTACACTTTGCCGATACTTTTCCTTTGGAAGCTGCTCCCTCATTATGCAGCAACAGCAATATATGAACATTGGTTCTTTTCAAATTCCATGACGTTCAAGTGGAAATTACTGTAGCAAAGCTTGGAGGTACTTCTAGTCTTTAGAAGGAAACAATTATTAGTATTTATTGTATAATTATTGTGGGGGAATGGTCCTTTAATTTGGATGTGATGGAGGTCTGTGCTGAAAGTTCCCGTTCAAATGGGAAACAAACTTTGAAGCATTCTGAATCTGCAGATGAAGTGAAAAGATCCAGTGAAAAGGCCCACAGAAGTTCTCATTCCAATGGAAAGCAAAATTTGAAGCAAAGTACCACTTATGTTAATCATGGTGAGCTTGCCATTGTAATTTCCATAATCTAATACTTAACCAGTCCTTTTCCTTTGATTGCATTTATTCATCTATTTTGCTTTAGTTTACCTCTTAAAAAGCATTAAACTATTCTAGAACATCCCATATAGCTTGTTAGTAGTTATTTTATTCATGCTATTTACATGGATGGTTATAGTTATTTTATTTATCTGCTGAAATAACTTTAATTCGAGGAATTTCAGAAAGGAATTGGTCCAGGGAAGTGAAAATAGAAACTAGTTAAATATATGGATTCATGTGATTAACCCAAATTAGGCGTTTTTTGTTCCTTGCATCTGATAAAAATGCAATCACTTGTTTTATTTTACTGATCAATGACTTTAGCACTGAAGAATATTACAAATCATAACTTCTTAACTCCAGATGTCTTGGATCAAAACCTATTAAGGGTAGTATGAGTGTATGACAATAACAATAACAGAGGAACACTTGACATGCAAGCTTTGCTATACAATTGATACCTGAGCATTCACAAAATAATAGTTAACATTTACATTAATGTTATCATTCAGGTTTTATTTACAGTTATGGATATGGATGAAGGGCAGATGTAGTAATGAAAGAGCAAACAAAGTGTTGTGATGGAATTGCTAATGATCAATTGATGTGGAAAATAATCAATAAAATCTTCAGAAAAGACCTAACTGTGCTAATTCATAATGAAATAGCTTTAGGAATTACTCTTTGGCACTTTGGACATGTAATGGTAATTGTTGAATTCCCACATCGACTATAGATATAGCTAAATAAGAGCTTACAGAGGCTAAAATAATCCTAACTGTATGAACTAACTTTTGAGGTCAAGTTAAGTTTAAAGGCCAAATTCAACGTGGTATTAAAGTCTATCATAGATCCGATGACAAAAGAAATCTGGCCCCACGAATTTTCCTAGTGCAATATGTAGCTCACTAAGAAAGAATTATAGAAGCAAAGAATGAAATAGTATTAGCTTAATGCCTTTATTCATAATTTTTCTGTTTCATTTTCATATTTTAGTTTTTCTAAGCTTTATTATAAATTTTCTGTTTTCTGTTTATTTTGTAATTTTTCTAAGCTGTTGTTTAAAACCTGATATGGGTGAATATGTTTGTAGCTGCAATAGCTTGGCATGAGGATAGAAGAAAGTGGGTTGGTGATAAGGCTCAACATCCACCAAGAACAACTAAGGATCCGATTATTAGGTATATCTCTACCCAACTCCTTTTTTGGTCATTCACAGTAAGATCAATTTTATTTTATTATTATTTTTGTCATCAAAATAATTTGTATTACTCACAAGAGCACAAATAGTATTCCATAAGAAGAACTTTATATGCGGTATACACATGTTTGCTATTGTTATTATGGTCACGATGAAAGGTTTAGAAGGGTTGGGCAAAACAAGAAAAGTGATCAGTAGTTTAGAAGGGGTTTTATCATACACATATTTCTAGTTTCTCTGAGATATTTACAGCCTTATGGGCAGAACTAAGGTTTCTACATTCTTGTTGAAGACATGGGAAAATCATTGCTCTCTTGCTTGTAATCTTGTGTATACCAGTTTAATGCTGAATTCTATTCCATAGCTGATAAACAATCCTTGCCAGTGAATAAAATTACTTTTGTTTCTGGCATAGAACTCATCCAACCATGATCCTTTTTTCTGGTCTTATATGTCAAGTGAGTTACACATATATTAATTTTTTCTAATTTATTTACTTGAATTCCTAAACTAACAGAAACTGTCACTTAGATACAAGTTTTAAACATCTATTTCTCATATGAAATAGGTACTAAATTACCAGAGTGTTTGAAAACTTCAAAATGGATTGAATTCAACTAATACATTACCCATTGTTAGTGTTTAATAACTAGTAATTACTAATTCTAGAAGAATCAATATTCATGACTCACAAAGTTTCGAAGAATAAGCAAATCTTTTAACATGCATTCGTTTGGCATAGCATCTTAGGGCAACTCTAATAATTTTACTACATTTTTATTTCAGCTGGTCAACATCTTATGAAGAGCTGCTCTCAACTAACGAACCTTTTGCCGAGCCGATACCCTTACCTGTAAGATTCCAAAATGCTTACCTGAAATAATCTATCTAATGCATGAAAATGTATGTGTTCATATCGAGCTCATAATATATATTTCTTAAAGATGGAGCAGAGAAATATTTGAAAAAGTATCAGGTGAATTTGTTTTCTAGTACACTGTACATGCATGGGAGAGATGGAGGAAAATCACTCACAGAATAATGCTCTTAAGCGTTGTTGTCTTTTTAAGCATTGCAGGATAACATTTCATTGTTATTCATTAGAATATACAAAGCTTTCTGTATAACTCTTCCATTTGCTGATGCAATTTCGATGGATTGGTGGCTCATGCAGGAGATGGTAGATTTCTTAGTTGATATTTGGCATCATGATGAAGGTTTCTTTGACTAAATTGTTGAAAGTTTTAGTTAAACAGCAACTGAAACAAGAACTGTGTAAAGCCTTTAACATGCAATGACCTCCCTTGCTCTTATAGGTGTCTACTTACTACGCATGATGGTAGAGGGAGACTATCGAGGTTCTCTTCTCCACATTAACCTCCTAGCATGAAATCCATTTATATGTACTAATAATCTTCAGGGTTAATGGTTATTATTTTCCAACATTTATCTAATACAAAATTTCATTGTTTGAAAAAATATATATACAGGTACCTATTTTATTTATTTGTATTTGCTGATCCAATAGCAGACATACAAATTCATATTCATGTATTAAATAGACGTTTTGATCAATACTCCTTGTACATTTCTGAAATTGAAAACCTGCCTCAGTTCTATAACTTCTGTCTGATTGTGTCTTTATTTATTTATTTGGTTGGGTAATGGAAAACAAAAGTTAAACAAGACAAATCTCACCAAGGCATTGGAAAGAAAATGGAGGAGCGAAACAGAAAGGGACAGTAATCCGTCTCCAAGCTGTCAAGGATGCTACCCATGATCAATGCAACTAATCCTCTTTAGGAAAGTTGAACAATCAAGAACCAAACTCATCACTTAATCTTGTGATCATCAATTGAGTTTCGAGTCCACTTCTTGGATGGAGTACTAAGCTTTTAGATTAAATCATAATTTTGTTTTAGAAGTAATCTGTTTAAGTTGAGGAAGATTGTTGGGTTTGTTTTTAAGATTTTAATACAACTGCATATTCACAACTTAATTGAGACCATTTATATAATGAAAACAATATGATTGACTTAAAATTAGTGACGAAATTGAGATGCTTATTTAAATTAAATTTATTCATGGATTTTAAATTGAAATTTGCATCACACGATAAAAGCTTGATTAACTAACTATTTAAGTGACGGAAATTAGATTGCACAAATTTTAATGCAATAGAAATCAGGTTGGACTAATGTGAGACTTTTAAACTATTATAGATAAGAATTTGAAAATTTTGAATCAGTTTGTAAATAAAATACCACAATGGACAAAATGAATAACTCACATTGCCATTAAAAGAGAATGTGACACGTGACAGTCTTGAAGAGTTACTCTCATTTAAGAGGTGTCATTTGATGAAGAAGTGCCCTGTGGCTCGTGGTAAAGGTCTAAAGGGGCGCCACTCTCATATATATATATATATATATATAGTGATACGTGCCCAGTTTGTAGAAAAATGAGTGTGAACACAACATTCAAGATCAGATTTAGAAGGGAAAAAAGGGCATAAAACAAAGCCCAGAATCTTCATAGAGGAATTAAGGGTGCAAAATGAGGTCTCATGCAATGAATTTTCTGTGGATGACTTCCTTAATTTCTTGAACGTGGAAGTAGAACTAGAGCAATAACAATAACAAAAGGAACAAGACTTTGTAAGTGTTTGTGTCTCCTTACCAAAGTCGCAACATTTGTAACTTTCAAAAACAATTTCACATCCTTTGTGCCCATTAGCGACTTAAGGGTTCTAGTACTTTAACTATATTAAACACAGTTCAATTTTGCTTTGCGTTTTCTATGTTGGTGGTTAATGAAAGTTTCAATTTTTACAAGTGAATGATATGGCGAACTTGGAATGACTATCCTATTTCACATATGATTCTCTGCAGCCTTCTTCATTATAATTGAGGCAACCAATGACAGAGACCTTAAACAGGTTTTTTATATTCATGTTTCAAAATCTTAGTTCAAATCAAGGCCAGAATTAGCGAATTAAAACGTGTGTCACCATATTCAAGAGTGACGCCCCTTCATAATAAGTCATTCATATGGTATTGACACATGTCACTTCTCTAATTAAGTAATACCAAGTAACATTTATTTAAAATTAGTTTTATAGTATTTTTAATATTTATTTTGTCTCTTGTGGTAATTTATTTATAATTTGCTCTAATCTAAGTTTTTTTTAGAGATTGTTGGTATGCTAATAAAGTGTGGGACTATTTTGTCTTACCAGATAACTGAGCCTCATTTTTCAGCTTAGACTTGACTGATTGATTTTATAATAATCTATCTAATCTTAATCTAAATAATTTTTTCAGTTGGAATAGGCTGTTTGGTTTAATAATCTAGCATATTTGTAAAGAAAGAAATAATATAATATTTCAAAATTCTGTAGTTTCCTATGAGTCCTTATATCATAAAATTTGCTATGATTTTGAGTTTTTAAACTATTGTTTCAGGGACAAGTTAAAAAGGACTGCTATTTTATTGGACAAACAAAGGCAGAAAAGATGGTTCCCTCCTTTCCCAGGTCATTTAAAACTTAATGTTGATAGTGCGATATTTTATGCGTTGAAATGTGCTTGATGTGAGGATTTAATTAGATATAGCTATGGAAAGATTGTTGCTGATTTTTATAGAGGTCTCAATTTTTGTTCCCCCTTAGAAGCTAAACTGTGGGGACTATTTCTTAGTTTGCAGCTTGTTATACATAAAAATATTGAAGTAATTTGAATTGAATTAAACTCTAAAAAGGTCCTATAGTTAGTGTTAAATTTTGAAAATTGTAACCATTTTTCTTTCCATCTAATTGATGCTATTAGAAATATTTTGAAACTCATCTCTTTTATCAGGTTTAGACATACGATGAGAAAAGAGAATAAGAGTGCGAACATGCTGGCTAAATTAAGTATAGATTCTGTTGATACAGCTTCATACTCTGATAAATATTCTCCTTCCCTAGTTCCTTTTTTTTGTCTAGATTCTTTAGGAATTTAAAACTTTAGATTTGTAGGTAGTTTTGTTTTATCTCAGCTTTCAGTCCCATTCAATAGTAAAAAAAATAAAAAATAAAAATATAAGTATAAATATTTTATCAAAATAATAATGTATAAGTAACGAACATGCATTCTTAATTGTTTTAAAGTCTTTCTCGATTTCAAAAGCTTCATAAAATAACTATTAATCAAACGAGTTTACCAAGAGGCAGTATAAACATGATATTTATTAATGAGACTTTTTTTTATATGAAAATATTAAATTATCAAAATATAAATTTTTTTAATATTACAGAATTATGAAAAAATTTTAAAAACAGTTAATGACTATTTTTGACCAAAAACACTTTAATTTTTTTATTACTTTTCCAAAAATCATTATTTATTGAATTTTGACTTTTAATTTTTTTAAATTGTCGTGGGTAATTTTTTATATTTTATAATTTTTAAAAAAAATCGTATTTTGATATATATTATTTTTAAAAACTATATTAAAAAAAATCCTATTAATGAACTTAACTTATAGACCCAGCTTCTGTACTTTGCACCAATTCTGCTTATGCCTTATATGGTTTTTTCCCTGTTTCCAAATGTCTGTTTGCAGTGAGGAACTTAGCATCTTGGAATTGCAGTGTGATCGAAGAATTTTTATTATTGTTTTTCAAGATGTAGTTTCTTTAAAATGAAAAAGTAAGTCTATTCATTATTAATTTAAATTTATAAATATTATCAATTTTAAATTAATAATAGATAATCCTTTACTTTTTTATTTTACATTGTTTTTCATTTAAAAGGACAAAATTTATATTGAGCCAAACATGTGTGTGTGTATATATATATATATATATATATATATATATATATATATATGTAATTTTCTTTTAATTGATTTAAAATTTTACTTCTGACTATCAATTTTTATGTGATTTCCACACTTCAATTTTGAATTATATGTAAAAAAATTGTATTATTTTTACTATTTTATATAAATATTTAAAATTAAAAATAAAGTAAGTATAAGGAGGTGTTTTTTTGTTCTAAAAAAAGTCATCAGAATTATATTAGTAGTTTTCTTTTCCTACTAAGGATAAAAACATTTTTTTTCAAATTAAACGCCCTAGTTCTTAAATTTTATAAGGAAATCTCAAGTCTCAACAGAATCATATTATCCTCTAACGGCTCTTATAAATATGGATGAGGTTAATAGAAGAAAGAGATTTATTAACAAGTATTTTTAAAGACATTAATTAACAAATAAATAATCTTTAATAAAAGTATATTAATAATATTTTATAACTAAGATAAAAGAAATGAGTGTATTAAGAGAAAATGAAATAAAAAAACATTATTTGTTAGTTAATGGTTCATTTTAGGCATCTATTAGTGTAAAAGACGCATATGTATGAACAACTAACTACAGTCCACGTTGTGTTGATGGGACGTGAAATTGTTCTTTAAACTTCGATCCCACGCAACGAAACTATATATATTCACTTTCCCTTCTTTCTACCTTTCTTTGTGCGAACGAAAATGGGGCACTCTCTCTCCATCTCAACGCTGTGCCCTATTCTCATTCTCTCTCTGCTTCTTCTCTCTTCCGACGCCGACAATCTCCGGTTAAATTTTCCGGCGAAGAAGCTCATCAGAGACCTTAACCTTTTCCCTCCCGAAGATGTCAATATCGTTTGCCATTCAAATTCTAACGCCAACAAAATCGTCGAGAAACCGCTCAGGTTCCCTAACTTACTTCCTTCAGCTTCGGACTCTGAGGTCTCCATCGATGACTTGGCTCATCGTGCTGGCTATTATCCTATTCAGCATTCTCATAATGCAAGGTTCTTTTTTTTTTTTTTTAATGCCGATTTGTTTGTTATGATTTTCTGCTTTTTTTTTACTGTACCTTGCATTGATGTTGACTTAAAATATAGTTTATTATTATTTTAATATTTGTTTAATCTCTTGTTAAGATATATACGTTTTTAAAATGTAAATAGTTTTCTCTTATTTGGATGAAGCGGGGGAAAATATGTGAATGGATAAATAAAATGATTGAATTTAGTAATTTTCTATGTGCTTATAGATTGCTTAATATGGTTTGTTGTTTTTGGTTGAACTGTGCAGGATGTTCTACTTTTTCTTTGAATCACGGAACAGCAAGAAGGATCCTGTTGTGATTTGGTTGACTGGGGGGCCTGGTTGTAGCAGTGAATTGGCTGTGTTTTATGAGAATGGTCCTTTCAAAATTGCTGACAACATGTCCCTTGTTTGGAATGATTATGGTTGGGACAAGGTATTTGTTGTCTCTTTCAGATGATCTTTTTATATTATAACAGTACTTTTCCCTGTGATTATCGTGTATACAAATTGCTTGGTAACCTTTCAGGTATCTAACCTTCTTTATGTTGATCAACCAACTGGAACTGGCTTTAGTTACAGCACCGACAAGCGTGACATCCGTCATGATGAAGAGGGCGTGAGCAATGACCTGTATGACTTTTTACAGGTACTCGTGTTTGCTCTAAATATTAGTTATAGAACATTATTGAAGTGTTTACATAATTTGTTACCTTAGTTTTATTTATTACTGCTGGAACAGAAGCTGCAATTCCAACCTTTTTCATTTTCTAACATTTCTTGGTTGCTTTTTGAGGAAAACCAAACCAAGCAATTCTTAGTTACTGTTGAGTTTGATAAGAACACCTGGCTAAGTATCACCAATAATATATTGAGTTAGCATGTTTCTCTTCACCACGCAGGCTTTCTTTGCTGAACACCCTGAGTACGCAGAAAATGACTTTTTTATTACGGGTGAATCATATGCCGGACATTATATTCCAGCTTTTGCAGCTCGTGTCCATAGGGGAAATGAAGCTAAAGAAGGAATTCATATAAACCTGAAGGTCTGTTATGCTGCATAGTGCGCTGTTCTTACTTTCTAAGTTTTGTGATTGCATTGAAAGGTAAGAAGATTTGATTGTCTTATTTGAATTGGTTTAAAGGGATTTGCCATTGGCAATGGACTTACTGATCCTGGGATTCAGTATAAAGCTTACCCAGATTATGCACTGGACATGGGCATAATTAAGCAGGCCGATTATGATCGCATTAACAAAGTGATGGTTCCTGCCTGTGAATTGGCAATAAAACTATGTGGTAACTTACATATGATTTTTTTTCCATGCTCTCCTTTCAGTGAATGCTGTGTTTCTTTATATTTTATGTGTTGAAAGCTAGGGCTATAAATTAATTGAACTAAGTCAAGCATGAATTCTGAGTTCAACCCGTAGTTCAGTTCCAAATCCCAATTCAAATTTGGTAATTTAAATTATTTTTAAAAATTAAATCATTTTGAAAGTGTAATAACTGTATGACATGCTTAGATAAAATACTTGATATTAATATACAATGATATAGTATACAAAGAGGCACAAGTTAGTATTTAGCAAATGTTTATAGTCCTATGTATCCACCAAAACTCACAGAAATTAGCTATATAAGCTCATGTTTGATAATTGTGTATACTATGTCCAAAATCTAAACTTTATGCATAATCGATATATTACTTACTGATGGGTATTATATTATTTTATAAGCATATAATTATCTTGACGATCATTTGCTTTTTCATATTATGAATTATTTGAAAACTACATGAAGTTCTTATATGATTTTGCATATAATAATATTATAGTGGGAGGACCTGTTTTTTTAACTTTCAGTAATCATGTGGCATTTAAGTAATTTTATCATCCTGATCATTTATCCAAGATCTAAGAACCAAGAATCACTGCCTCACTATCATAGTAAAACTATGCTCTCAATTGTTTGGGGCTTTCAGATTGGGCAGCTTCTATTACCTTTCTGCTAAAAATTTGTTTTGATCATTTCAGGTACTGATGGAAAAATTGCATGCACAGCTTCCTATTTTATCTGTAATACCATATTCAATTCTATCATGTCACATGCTGGCGATATCAATGTGGGTAATGTAGTTGCTTCCTCTTCTGAGTGGTTCACATGTTAGTAGTACTTTATAGTTGTTGACTTGATGGATTGCTTAAAGCCAAAAAAATGAATAATAGTTAACTCTGACAGAAGCTCTTATGTGGGACCCCTTTGAGCTTGAAGATTGGTCAAAATACAGGCTTGTTCATAGAAATTCTGATACCATGTTAATGAATCACTCAATCTAAAAAGTTTGTTGTTGTCTAGTGAAGAGTGAAGGAGGATTTTGATTGTCTTGAACAAATTGTTGATACCTGTTACATTTTGTTATGCTTCCCAGAATTACCAACTCTGTAACTCTTCTTTTATACTTTGTTAGAGGAGGATAATTTGAATGAAAAATTTAAGCCTTTCATCCTGCTTGTCATTTAGAATAAATTCATGTTGACATTTATGGAAATTTTGCAAACTCTTGAGGATCATGGGCATATTCAACATTTTGACCAGTAATTATATGCTTACACTGCAGTATTATGACATTAGAAAGAAGTGCGACGGGAGTCTTTGCTATGATTTCTCAAACATGGAGAAGTTCTTGAACGATAAATCTGTCCGGAACGCACTAGGGGTTGGGGATATTGATTTTGTGTCTTGTAGTTCTACAGTTTATCAAGCTATGCTGGTGGATTGGATGAGGAATCTTGAAGTTGGTATTCCTGCCCTTCTAGATGATGGAATCAGTTTGCTTGTGTACGCTGGGGAATATGATCTTATCTGCAACTGGCTCGGTATGTGTTTCTACTTTAAATATTTCATACTTTAGACCTTTCTATGCAATTTATTGTTGATCTTTTTCCTGGTGCTATGAATTCAATGAGTAGGTAATTCAAGGTGGGTTCATGCCATGGAGTGGTCTGGTCAGAAAGAATTTGTAGCCTCACCCGAAGTTCCTTTCACAGTTGATGACTCAGAAGCTGGATTGTTGAAGAATTATGGACCTTTAAGTTTCCTTAAGGTATTTCTTCTCCCCCCAGCCCCCCCCCCCCCCCCCCCCTCTCTCTCTCTCTCCACGCACAACATTCCGGTGCTGTGAAAACTGTCAATAACTCTCGTCTAAGTAGTCAATTGATGTTATCAAGAAATAGATATACTCCATTTACCTTCCAAATTTCCCTGTTGCTTGATAAATGCTGATTCAGTTTGATATCATGTGTATAAAAACACAGGTACATGATGCGGGTCACATGGTTCCAATGGACCAGCCAAAGGCTTCGTTGGAAATGCTGAAAAAGTGGACTCAGGGAACCCTTTCTAAATCTGGAGCTGATGCTGAAAAATTGGTTGCTGAGATGTAATCTCTTCTATTGCTATTAGTCCATATAGATATGTATAATGCAATAAAGTGAACAAAAAAAATTAAGTGACCAATGTGTTTTCCCCACTGACCTCAACTTATTCTGATGTCTCGAGATAGCGCAGTGGGTAGAGTTGTTTGGCATATGATAAGAGTTCCAAAGTTTCAATTTCGTAAAGAACTTTGTATACGTATTAACAGAGAGAAAATGAGGTTTCAATCCATCTGGATCCACTCAGCACTTTGTTCTTCCAAACGGGAGCATTTGAAAGTGCCTCGTCATTTATACTGCTTGAATAAAAATGAGAAAAAAAATTAAGTGATTAAATTTGAATATATGATATTATTTAAATATTAAAAATATAACGCTGGTGATAATTAATGGTAAAAAATATGTAATTGGACTTTTGTGAAGGATTAGTTGTAAAATAGAGGAACTGAATGTTTCTTTTATTTGTAATCACTATTATTGTCATTCCAATGAATGTATTTAAAAACTTATTTAGACAAAGCTACTGGGCAAAGTAGATTTTATTATATTTTATTATCTAATTTGCCTTCCTAATCAAAGACTCCAGAGTTTTTGTCACTATTATTATCAAACACTTTCCTTGCTTCCTGGGAACATATCTTCTAGATATGTCACATTTCCACTATATACACATCACAAGGACCAATTTCAATTCTTAAGACGAACACCCTGAAAATATGAAAAGAGTTTATGCGCATAAGAATGAAGAAAATATCCATTGAAATGTCTTGGACAGAATAAGCCTTTTTTCAACATTCTTCCCAATCAAAAATAACAGCTAATTACCAACCTAAGGCCGTCTCTAAAATCACAACAATAATTCCCATCCATCATGTTCTTTACATTGTTGCAGGAGAATCAATTTTTAGACAATTTTGGTGTCTCTATCAACTTGAAATTGACAGCAATGTCATTCCATATTGAACAGGAACTTGGTATGCTTGGAGTCTTGCAGTGTGCTGGGGAACCAGTCTGAGCAGACAGAGACTGCACTACAGGCAACCGCTCAGGTACCTCCTCCAATTCAAAGCATTCATTCTCAGACTGAAAGGATGGACAAACAATTAGAAAAACAAGATGGGGAGAAACAGACCAAAAGAAACATGAAAAATTACGACCAAACCTTCAGTTTACATAATGCAGGCAATTCAAAGGAAATTGTCATGTGATCATCCGAATCTGATCAAATTATAAATCAGAGAATAAGTAAACCAAGTACCAGCCAAAATGTACAATCCAAAAAGAAATGCACTCTCAGTCCGCAAAAACTATAATCACAATATAAAGCAGCCCAAGTTAAAAGCTAAATTACCATCCTCAAGTCCAACAGTCTTGAAAAACTGATGCACTTGTGCAGTTTCAAACTGTGATTTGATACATTCTTGATGATTGTGCAAGATTCGTTCTTCAGCTATTGCATTGGGATGAAGAGATTCCTCTGTCAAGGAACTTGACTTCAGGCTGATTTTATTTTTTATCTCAGGAACATGAGGTTTCCCTGAGTTTGAAATGTCAGAAAGTGCTTTCCTGCAACCAGTAAGTGATTTCTCAGAAGCTTTCCTGGCAGTTCTTTTGTTATTCTCAAGAATTTTTGACTTGAGTGGTTTTGATGATTGACTAATAGAGGGTTTTCCTCTGTCTATCGAACCATCAAGGACTTTCTTTCCATGTACTTGATTTACGGGCTTCCCTGCATTGGATAGATCTCCAAGGGGTTTTCTTGCCCCAGCCCCAGCTTTCCGCTGTCCTGCAAAATCTGCCTTCCCAGAAAAAGTTTCTTCTCCTGCACCAGCGATAAGAATCAGCCTGGGCATGGTAAATCAAACATGTTAAAAGCAAAAGAACAAAGAGCAATACCAGCATTGTTAGCACTACGGTTTTGGTCTTGAAACAAGCGACTGGTTTGTGCAGCCATTTGTGTTAATGAACCCAACTTTCAAGCGAGCACCCTGCATACATCGTAGAAGAGTTAAACCATCTTAGAAAGCTTTTGTTTTAACGTTTAGTCACGTCTTCATATCTATTTTCAGAAAAAATCAACAAACCCTCAAATCATCACGTGGCACCAAAATACCAAAATTCAAGATGTCAATTTTTCTCTAGTTCCTTCATTCATCTTATTAGCTAGACAAAATAGAAAAGCAATTTCAATCCAAGCTTAAAAAGAGCCCTAATACTCCGCATCAGTGTCCTAAAACTAAATACAGATACTTCCCCTGCACCAATTGGCCTAAAAGAATTAGAAGCTTCCTCCTTTCATTTCTTGGGAAGAAGAAGCATGCAATTGCTCGATTGAATGAAACCAAAAATCATCTTCAACTCCAAGAAAGGGAAACCTTAGTCCAGATTTCAATTTTCTACCCGTAAAATAAACCCAAGATTTCAAAGTCCCCATTCTTACCCCTAAAATCGTATTCGACTCCAAGAAAGGAAGAACACCATTTTGAAGATTCCAATTTTCCAGCCGAAAAGAAACGAGAACTTTCAAAATCCAAAAACTTACTCATTTTCCTTCTTCTAACTTGACTGAAAGAAAAAAAAAGAGAATAAAACTTTCCTTTTCAATTCGAAACTCGAGGAGAAACAGACAAACCCTACACACATATTCAATATCTATTAATTCATCGTAGTTTCCTAGAATTCTCATAAACCAAACAGTGAATAACCAAAGAACAAAACATCCAGGAAATCAAATTCTCACTCTACGTAGGAGCGATCGAACAAGTACTACGAAGCAACTCTTGAATTGAAAAGCTGAAAGACATAAACTTACAAATATTACTTCCGGTAACAGAACGCTGTTTTTGCCTTGTTCTTTTTTCCTTTGAATCGGTGACTTGAGTTTGAGAGAAGGTTTGGGAAGAAAAACTACCAATATAAACGCAACGAGTCTCAACGGTAACTTATACCCTTTTACATTATTGTCCCTCTTAAAGAAATCAATTTACATTAATCCCCACGTACATATACATAGTTTTGGAATAGATTAGGACTAAAATAATAAATAAATTATTTTAAAAAATATTTAATAAATATATAATAATAAATATTATTTAGAAATTAAATTTAAATTAAATTAATAAAATTATTTCATAAAAATTTATTTAATATAACTATAAGTTATATGATAATTCTATAAAATATAGTTTTTTATATAAATTTATTTTTTTATTATATTTAAAAGTTACATATTTAATATTATAAAAATAAATTTTTTAGCTAATAAATTTTTATTTTGCTTTATTTTCTTAAAACGTGATATTATTTTGTTGACTTTCAATTTATTACAGGATGTATTAATATTTTATTAAACACATAAATATGTATATTACACTAAAAGTATTATTAATAATATATCATTTAATAAATTGCAAATTAATAAAATTTTCTTAGTCATGGAATACAAATACAAAATTATATTAGTTATTTTAAAGACTAAAAGATTTGATGAAATATAGAACTTATGCTGCATTTTATTTCTTGCTACTGACATTTAGGGTTGGACAAAAAAAATTATATTATATCTGGTCTTCAACTAAAATTTAATTTTCATTAAATTAATTAAATTTGTGCATATTATTATTGTGATTCACGTCACCACTAAATATATATTATAATTAAGCTGATTTGTCAACATAACAATTATTTTAAAAAATACAATAATTATTGTTTTCAACACAATTTATAAAAAATGTTGATAAAGTTAAAAATGAGCAATATTTCGTGATCCACCTATATCTGCAAAAATTAAAAGTTAAAAATTAATTTTAAATCGAATCAGGTTGAGTCACAATTTTAAATCGGTTTAAAAAAAAAAGTCTTATCAGCTTAAAGTGAACAATTTTTGTTGTTATAATAAAAATGTGTTGTATAAAGTGTATTGCTAGCATCAAATAACGTCGAAATTTAGCTTAGACAAATAGAAAGGCCATACGAGATGAAAGCGCTTCAAAAATTGCTACTATCAGCTTACAATGGATTGAGTCATTTGTACACGAATCCAAACAATATGTAATATATTAAAATTAAACTTTAATAGGGTCAATTTTTCAGACGAGAATGCATTAACACTATTTAGTAATTATATATTAATTAGTACATAATACTTAATTATAAATATTTTCTTAATTTTTCAAATAAAAAAGCTAATTAAATTTGTAGGTCATAAAAATTTGTATAATATTTTAAAAGCTGAATAAAAAATAAAATCACAAAAAAAGTTGTTTAAAAAAATATCATAAAGGTTTAATATAAAATAATTAAAAGAGAGAATAAAAACGTACTAATGCAACTTTATCAAGTTTGATTTTCTTACCAAACGATATTGTTAAATGGATTGGGTATATGTGTGTGTGGACTCTGAAAGTGTCCTATCTCTATCTACTTCGTAGAAGAAAATCAGAGAAAATAATGTCATCAGCCACTGCCATTGGATTCACAGTGAATTGGTGGCTGCACTGTCACGCGCGAATGTCTCCTTCATGTTTTGTGTCGTCTCGTTTATCCTACAACTCTAAGCCCAACTTCAACTTTATTCTGAGAGCATCCTCTGAAGGTCAAATTTTGAATCTTTCATCTTCTTCATTCTGAAATATCCCAAATGGGATATCGTGCCTTTCTTCAAAACCTGTTCATCATGTCAATGTTCCTACTCTTAAGTGATGTTAAATTTGTGTGTTTCTTTACAGGGAAATTGTAATTTTTTTTTAAAAAAAAAAAAGAAAGAATTTTTAGAATAATCTTATGATTTGCAAAAAAAATAAAATGAGGGTAATGTAGCTGTGGCTAAATTGAGGGGTGTTACAATTTTATTTAAATATTGTTTTTTTTTCCCCATAGTTCAGGACTTCCCTCTGAATTGATTGAAGACTCGAAGTTCGTTCCTCTGAATGCCGAGGATCCGAGATATGGTCCACCTGTAAGTCATGGTTAGTTTTCAATAACATGTTTTCTATCCTTTATTGTAAACTTCTCACTTTGGATGAAATTCTCATTATTTGTGGAAAAAAGAATTACAAAGGTAAAATGAATCAAATTTCTCTTATAAATTAAAACATCAACTCTTTTAGAAATTTTCATCTAATTTCTCTAAAAGCTAATATGCAAAGTTTGATTTATTTTACTACTTATTTTCTTTTATTTTTTTTACAAGTGTTTAGTGAGAAATTTATCCAAATTAAACTTCACACATTCCTGCCATAAGAAATTAATTTTCAACATCCATACTGCTGCAAAATATCTACGACATTTCCTGGAAATCAAAAGTTGTTCTAGTGTCAAATGGGTCATATTTTGTCTTTCCTTTCATAAGTTTTGAAATTTAATTTGGATGTGTTTTTGTGAACGTTCAGTCTATCTTACCTTGGCTCAGAACTCACTGCTGTAGAACATCAATAATTTTACTGACTTCATGCGTAGTCAAAAACAAAAGTTTTTATTTTTATGTTTTGCAGGCCTTATTGTTGTTGGGCTTTGAAGCACATGAAGTTTTGAAGGTGATCTTACCTTAATTCATGTTATATGATGTTTTACCCAAGATATGTTAGAATTCAATTGCTTAGGCCTTGTATTCTTTTCAAATATGCCATTCAATAACATAATATGCATCCTGATGTTTAGCAGATTCAACAGCTTTTAAAAGAGTTAGATGGTGAATTTCTGAAGGTAACATTTTATTTCTTGTCTTTCTTTCATGTCCATATTCTATTGAAAGCCAAGAATCAGTGGAGTAAATTTCTCAGTTATGATTGGGGTGAGGGGGCTAATATATCATTCTTTTATAATGAGAAATGTCAGTCCACGACTAATCTACAAAATGGATAAATAATAACTACTACAAAAATTGAAATTTTTAGAAGTTTTTTTTTTGGATAGTGTTATGGATCAATAACTTGTAAGAACTGAATTTTTATAAATCAAGGACCTTTTTTATGAAAAGGTAACTTCTTACATATGCTGCATAACACGATGACCCTTGCTTGTGTTTGTCCTAATAACTGTTAGTTTGATTACATCTGAGTAAGCAACATAGGGAATGTTTCATTTCAGAATGAAAGTAGACTGTGAATCAAATTAGAGGGAGTGGTCTGATTAAACTGCTTCTTTATATTCTCATGGATTGGACAATACTAAACAACTTTCTATGCTTGTTTTAGTACTGTGTACTTTTTTTTTGGGGCCATAGGAATTTTTTTCAGCCAAAAAAGGAATAGATTGGGATATATTATCAAGATTCAAGATTATTAACTTTTGTGGATTGGTATGAATTTTTGACAAAACTTTTTGTGTCTAACGATTTTCAGAATAAACAACCACTTAAATGGCCAAATATTGTTTACAACAACTGGTTGATGAGTCCACGTGGTACTTCTTTCGCGTAGATGATGCAATAAGCTGCTCTTATGTCCTCAGCAAAGTGACAGACCATTGCTTCATGATTATATGTCTCCTAGAAAACATCATCATCAAATAGTTATCAGGAATTTGATAGAGTAAATTGCCTAGGACAATCAATTAAGGATGCAACATTAGAAAAATAAGGAAAGTGAATATCTATATTTAGGAGAGAACAAGCACATGAGGCTTCCGACTAGAGTCTGGGAAGAGTAGATGTATGCAGACTTACCCCTACAAGTAGATTTCAGGACTTGAACTCGTGACCTCTAGTTCACAAGGGTACTACCTTATAGTCGTGCCAAGGCTTTTGCCCTCCAAGATTTTACCCATTTGAGACTAAAATTTGAATGAAATATAACAATTATAATTTCCGTAGTTATAGATTGAAGAAAATACCGAATGTAATGTATTGCATTGCAGGTCATCTATTGTACTGAAGACATGGTCACACGTTCGCTTTGGGAGGCAGTGCATACAACACAGCACAATTTGGAAGAGGTCAAGGTATAGTTTTGGGAACAGCTAATGATGTATTATTTTTATCTAGCATCTGATCACCCTATCTTCTCGTGAATTTGTATAAATAAAGTGATAACAATTAGCAGAAATAAAATTTTCAGAACAAGCTTCTCCATAGTGATTTCTGCTAGGCATTTCATACAATTCATTATTTCTTTGTATGAATTGTTAAGTAGACATCAAATTTATAGTGAATCCTCACCTGTCTAGAGTGATTGTTACCTCTAATTTTTCAAGCATAAGAAATTAAACCTTGCAACAACATATAAGTTAATGAAGATGCTTCTGATATACCTCAGGAAGTCACAGTACTCTTTACTGGAGGAATAAGGTGGTATGCATATTGATATTTCATTTAAATCATATATGACATTCCATAAACTATGAATTATATTCAAATCTCTGCATGTTCAGCATTTTGTGCCCTGCAGATAGCTAAGTCCCTTCCTCGAATATGTTTCTTATCTGGTTTAAGCGGTGAGGAGATGATGATGTTCATAGATTCTTTCCCTGAAACTGGTAACAAAAACAGGATCCCATTTTTCCTTAGGGTCTGTTAAAGATGAAGATTTTCTTAATATTTATGACTGTGGTTTGGAGTTTGGCTCATGCAGGATTAAGACCAGCTGCATTTGCCGCACTTGTTCCCAACAGTGCTAATAAACCACTGCAGGAGTTGATAGAAGAAATAACGGGAGACCATGAAACGTTGGTATGTATTTATTTACGGAACTCAATGAGCTCATGGCTGGTTATAGACTAATGGGAAACGAACTTATATGACTGCAGACCGGAGAACAGTTATGAAGATTTAAATTCCAGTTGAATCCCAGGAGAGCGACTAGAAAATCGATTTGCTCTGTATCATGTAATCAAAATAAACATTGTAAAATATAAATATAAATCTACTTGGATTTTAAGTATATGAAGAGCTACGCAAGTTAGCAGCTGATTATTTGCTGAGAACCTAGTCTGTTATGGTAGTACTTGATCGGATATTCTTTTTCTAATGCCTGCATGAATGGAGTCTTGTTCTTTTGTTCGCATATTCTTAAAATTGTAAAGAGGTAATGAAAGTTGAGACGTCCATAAAATTTTTGGTCAATTTTCCTAACCATGTTTGCGACGACGTCCATAAATCATGACAGTTAGAGCTTATTTGTTTTTTATTTTTAAAAACTGTTTTTTAAACGTAAAAAAAATAAAATTTGCATGTTAATGTAAGTTTTATTTTTATTTTATTCTTAAAATATTTTTTTAAAATTATTTTAAAATAAATTTTTAAAAATTAAAAATAAAAAACATAATCATGCAAGCTCTTACTGGGCTTACTTGAATATATTTTTAAAAAAAGTAATTTTTTTGAAAGGTCTGATTTTTTTAAAATTTTATGGGTTCTCAATAAAGTAGGGACTTGTTTAGTTTCTGAAAATGCTTTTTACTTTAATATTATTTTTTACATTTAATAACAAAACTGTCATCTTATTTTCATTCTATCTTCTGTTTTCGAAGATCTGTACAAAGTTCAGTGTTTCCTATACAATTTTTTTTAGAACAAATTAAAAATAAAAATAATTTCTGAAACAAAACAGCTCGTAGAGTTTTAAATTATTGAGAAAATATATTGATTAGTAAAATTAGATATATCGTAAATTAAAGACAGAACAGAACTACATGCTGAACTCAACGCAATTGAATAATATATAACGTTGGTAAAGTAGCACTCAAATTAAAATTATCAAATGCCATCCCATGAACAGTTCCACATGATTATAAAAACTCCGCAAGTGTATTGATGATTGTGGAGAGATACTTACGTGGTCAAGAATAAAATAAGTCAAACTTAATTTTCTTCTGCAAGATAAACACTCGAGGGAATTTCGAAGACCAAATCCAAGGACATGAACATGATGTCCTATAATAATTTGCATAGTTAAAATGAAATAACTGTCAAAATTTCCTGAACCAAGCTAAATAGACAGCACCAGGCAAAGCTCAGCAGCACTAAAACGTATGTAAAATTGCATTAAATTGACGCATCTACATGATTCCTATTACAAAAATACAGCTCCACTACAATATACAAAGGCCAAGTGGACAAAGCGTGAGGTGAAAGAATTGCATGGGCATTAACTGGACTGCAACTAGATTCTCTAATACTCAGCAACGTCAAAGTTCCGTAGTGTGAAAGGGATAATAGCTCTATCGACTGTTCTGCACATTCATCTATACCCACCTGTATTGAAAATCATGTGATTGCGCTGTATGCCACTGCATCAATTAGATTGATGTCTTCAAAATCAGACAGTAGTAAGGTGTTTCATCGTTACAGAGGTTCAAGGGATCCACTTTTCAGTCTTTCCATTCGTGCTTGAAGCCCAGACAATGCTTTCTCATCCATAGGGAGTACCCCACCATGCAGAGTGTTCTCAGTACCAACATGCTCTGATGCAAGAGGAATCTGACTAGGAGCAAGTCCATGATTCAAGTTGTCATTAGCACTTGTTAATGGTCTACCGCCAGAATCTGTACTCCCAGCAGCAGCTGCTAATTGCATGCTCTTCATCCTCTCTCTGATTGCATCCAATGTTCCACTGGTTACTGCACAGATCATATGTAACTTATCCTTGTAAAAATATTGTCTAAAAATTAAAATTTGGTGCAAAAAAACAGAAGATTACCATACCTCCGGTCATAAATCTATCATTCCTTTGGTCACCTAATGTGTAGTCAGAATTTAATGCTCTAGAAGTAATGGCATTCACAGTCCTATTCTCCTCATTGTATGATGGGGGTAAATTAAAATTAGTCGGCTCAGGTTTTACATTTAATTTAGCATCACTCAATGGATTTGCATTTACAGGTGAGAGAGGTGCAAAATCAGGGGAAGATATATTTAAAGATGCTGGTGGAGGAGTAGGCATTGGTAAACTCGAAGGAGTTCTTCCAGCAGCAGCATTCTTCTCCATCTGCCCAAATGTTAAAATCAATTGTCAAATGCTCAATCTACCAATCATGTAAACATAGATACAAAATGCAAGCACACTTAAGAAAATGTTGTGATACAGGTAATTTAACTCAACCTGCGCAAGGCCCTCTCTGATGTAGGTGCGAAATGCCTCACTAGCATTTTGCAGCTGAGCAAATATGTCAACCTAATATGAAGTACAAGAACCTCAATCAAATAAGCAAAAAGGATATAGGCACGATGTTTATTAACCATTACATTACATCTTTTCTGAAAATTAACATGAAACTTAAATACACAATTATTACCTTTGGGTACAACTGGGTAATCCGATATAGTTCATATAAACCAATTGTGCAAGTTTGCTTCTCCCCGATCTTCTTAAATATAGCAGCCAACTCTTGCTGCAATTAATTTGAGGATAAAAATGAAGATTTAAGAATGGCTTTGAAGTTGAAATACGATATTAGGGCATAATAAAACGAAGTTAAAACAGAAAATCAATTAGAGATATTAATAACATATATCTGTAAATTTATAACACCCAAAATACTGAAAAATAAAGGATCGTGATACCTTCAACTGGGCATCAGCAGAATGTGTGCCAGAGGCTGAATTATTGGTTGCTGAATCGCCCCAATGGTTTTGTCCCGCAGGTCCAGATGCAGTCAACATTCTTGCGGCAGCCAAAGTCTGAAGATCACAACTAAAGAATAAATACAGTAGAAACAAGTCTAACCACATAAAATAAATTAACATGTTATGTAGCACATACCTCAAGATTAAGTTCAATGTAGGCTAGGATGATGGGTTGAGGTTTTGCATCAATAGGAACCATTGAAAGATGACCCTTTATTGCTGCACCACGAAGCTTGACAAGTTCATGCAGAACAGTTTTTACCATCCTTAAAGGTTTGTCATCAGCACCAGCCCTACAAAAATGAAAAATTAGAAATAAAAAAAGTGATTTTAGTTTTTTCATAAGCAAAAAAAAAAAAGTAGTGACTCTATCCAACAACAGCTATACATACCTTCTCCTAATTTCCTCCATCCCTAAGTCTTGCAGGTATAAATGGATGCTTTGTAGTATGCGATCTAGGTCAACATCGTAGATAGTGCTCTGAAGAACCTGCAGCAGCACAAACAAAATTTTGATGAATAAATCTGTTCAGATAGAATTTAGCAATTTCAATTCTGCTTCTTGATCATGAAAAATAAATTTACACTTCTATACTTATTCAAGTCAAATTTTACATATCACCAATGCATAGTTAAATATCAAATAGATCAATATAAGTCTAATAGATTCGTCAATAATCAATTTGTTAATAATTGAATATCTAACAATAGACATCCATTATGCGTTCTGCCCAGTTAAAAAATTGTCAATAACTAAAACTTCTAGTCCATTAAATATTATTGTGATTAGATGAATTAGATGGATATATATGGATGGACATATGAATGATGGGCTAACATATCTCATTCCCATTTTATAGGTGAATGGCCTGACATAGGATGGTGAGTGGGATTGTTTTGGGTTAATTTGAGGTTGAAAGGTTATTAGCATTTGAAAGAACAGTAGCCAATCTCTACAGTGAACATCATATTGAGGAGTAGTCTCTATAACAGACAGGGAATACAAATCAAATAATCTATACAACACAAATGCTCAAAAAATTGAACTCTAAATTCAAGACATTCATGAATTATGATTAATACACGGAAGGTAGGGTTCAAAGCAGATTGGAGTTGAAAATAATAAATGTAATACAAGAGGGAATATTTCACTGAGGCCAAAACTCATGATGATTCTTGAGAAATAAAACCTAACTTAAGAATTAAAATAATAGATGGAGGAGGTTAATATATCACAACATTACACCACATGGAATGATTGATGGAGGTTAAATAGAAAAATACATAAACAGTACAGGAGTGGAAAAAAGGAACAGAGGATTGAAGTGTGAAGAATGAATAGAAGACTAAATAGAAATGTATCTGAGAAGACAGGAAAGGTTGGATAAGTGACCTGGCTACCAGAAAACACAAGATTGGACTGGAAAACATGATCCCTTCCAGAAAAGGGATGTGCTGAACTGCAGTTTGAAGGAACACAGTTGTTTTTCAAGGATAGGATTCTAACCCTAAGTTCATTGAAAGGGGTGTCGCATGAGTATGTGTACACAGTCTAAAAATTTGCTGAGTAGTTCAAGGAATATGTGGATGAAAATATACATGTTCATCTAGGCAGCCAAAATTCCTGCTAAGTAGGCTTAACTTGATCAATGCCCTAATAAAGCTGGATCTGTAGAAATCTTGATCATTAAAACAGTATTTAGAAACAGAAATCTCTCTCTTAGATCTGTAGGAATTGAATAAAAAATCAGGAAATGAGAGAATAAAGTGATCGACAGTGCAGATGCCATAAACTCCCCATTTCCCAGTACTTGGGAGACTAGAGTCAGCAAAATGAACTTATCCGATAGGCTGGCCCAAAAATATCCACACAAAATGAAGATTTGGGCATTACAATTGAAGAACTAAATAAATTTGGGAAATTTTAGCTTGACTCGTTTAAGCCTAAACTCATACGAGTTGGGGCAAGCTAGCTCACAGAGGGTGCAACCCACATTGCTTTTTTTCAAGTAAATATATTATTTTAATTTGAAATTGTCACCTATAAAATTTAAATTATTTTTTTATATTAAAATTTGATTCTATATTTTGATAATAAAAATAATGATAATTAGAGACTAGTTAAAAATACTTGCAATACTAGTTAAAAATATTTATTTTAAAAATTATAATTACTAGGATTGTTTATTTTAATATTGTCGAATGAAAATATTTGATGATCTTTTTTCAAAATTTGTTGGATAAATATTGTTAGAGTAATTTTTCATATTAAATACATATTCAAATAGGTTTCTTTGTTAAAAAAAAAGCACCATA